AATGTGCAGAAAGTGAGGAGATCAACGGTGACCAAACTGCACAAAATGCTGGACAGAGAACAGATTGGGGTGATGCAGACATGCACGAAACCGGTCGCGAAATGTGCAGTGCGTTGCGGCGTGCGGCGGCAACACACACCTGCATCAATTCTGGCCCTGTGGACTGACGTTGATCATGAGGGTCTCGAATTAAAAACCAGCTCTGAGTCGGTAAACATCGTGAGAAGTGGTGAACGCGACACGGTGGCATTGGAGTAAAAGCTTCGGATAGCAGTGTCTACACATGGGATTCAAATCGCATTTCTCCTGTCTCTCCCTGATAAGTGCAAGTAAGTATGAGCGGTTGTGTGTCGCTAGCGGACAGCACCTGGCGTATACAGTCGCGAAACAGATCAAAGGTGATTCAAAAGGTAGCAATTAGCCAACAGAGCGCTGCTGTAGAAAGATAGAAGCTACCAGATGAGATAAATGCGGTAGATTATGCAAATGGAGATAAATGAAGAAAGTTGAGCGGAGTGACAGGCAGTTAAGCAAAGTCATATGTTGGCGCCGCAGCAAATTTGCATGAATGCGAATGTGATTACGTAGACGGATTGGTGCTTCAGGACGCCAAAAAAGATTGCACAAACCTCATCCACAAAGTAGGTGATCGGTCGCGATGCATATTGACAAAATCTGAGTGTCACAGCTTAGTCTTAAAATCAGCCGTTACCTTTTCATTGGAACATTGCTATTATTTTATGTGTTGCGGATTTATCAGTTTTCACTAAATATGTTTGGCATTTTTTTCAATTAGCCTATCTACAAAGTCACTAATGCTGTTCTCCGTCGTTGTTGAAAAAGAGCTTAGACGTAATGCGCGCTGTAAGCGTTTGCTGATTTCGCTTATGATATCATAAACGCTACATTCCCCGACGGTGCGAGGCACAGACCAACTGAGTGGTCTGACCAATATGTACAGCGAGCTCATATAAAACAGGTAATTGTTCGTGTTTTATATAATGGATCCTAAACGGACTTTTAAAGTGTTTTCAGGTGAAATTTACTAGAGAAATAGAGAAAATAGAAACAATAACAAACATATTTATTTAAATGTGCAAGTAAAGTAATACGGCCATGCATGGAACCCTCTACAGGGATCTGTTTCCATACAAGGTATCTCCTCGAATGGTTTCACCCGCGCATCCATGTTTCATCCGGCTATGCGCCGGTGTGAAAATATAGCAAACAAGATAACACTATTTTTACTTATCTTTTGGGCCATCCAGCCCGTTCTATCATTCGGCTCAGTGGGGCATGGCAGATGCGCTTTGGCGGAAGCCCACGTCGACGTTGTGAGCGATAGACACCGTCCAACTGACGTAGCCTGCTGTTCTGAATGCGTATCGAAGTACGCTGACATGCGAGTTGAATAAACGCTCACTGGTCTTTGGTCTTATGTTCACCACACCTTAGTAACAGCAGAAAATCCTCATGTTGTAAGTCTGATAACAGACATGGACATTGGGTCTCTTCGGGATCTCTGGAACTTATCGATGCTCGTCGGCACATTCCGGCTGGAAGCGAACGCAATGAGACTCGCAGAAACCTCCAGGCAAAAATCCGTACTAGCTTGAAGAGAGAACGCATCGTGCGTCAGAGTTGGAAGTGGCCATTACCCTTGGGAACTATCGGAAGTTATTCCGCCTGATACAAGAAACGGATAGTAGGAGACCTGGTGTTAGTGAAACAATTTATGACGAGAGTGGACAGCCTATCCACAACTTATCAAAACGTTTGGAGCGTTGCGGTGAGCATTTTTAAAGACAGTATACTAGGACAAGATTGTTGGATTCTTCACCGGCCAGTGATCGCCCTGCTCCATGAGCTGTTTCTTTGAATCCACCCTTAGTGTAGGGTAACGAGCTTGTCTCGTAGTCTTGCAGCACGGGTTCGAATCAGCGTAGGGATGGGCGTCCTCGCGGTATGCTCAAACCACATAAGACTCGTAGGTGGTCGCATGGCAGCGAAACGCTGTTACGGCGTACAGCTGACACATTATTACGGTTGGCTTGCCGAACAACCTCGTGGTGCCAGCTGGGTGCTTCGGTATTATGCCGTTCCAGCAAATTATTCGGCGGCAATGTTCCAGAATGTGGTTAGTTCTCGCCTGGCAAGCATTCTCCCTATAAAAAGCCGCATATGTCCGCTAAACAACGATGTGACGTGGCGCATGTGACTCGCCACTAAATAAAGCTACTGTCTCCTGCTTCGTGTTGGCGAAGCATTGGTATTCTAGCAACTTAATACTGAAATTGTGGGGAGCATTGGCCCCTCTTTGGCAAACGAACAAACGAAAGGCGTATGAAACTGGACAATCAGTCACCGGCTCCCGATAAGCGCGATTCCCCTGAATTCGCTCCGCTGCCTTTTTGGGCAGGCCAAAGGCTCGGGATAGTGTCCACTAAGTCAACAAGCTACTTCGGCTTGGGCAACCGGGTAGTAACTCGCTCTCCGGCGAAACCATGGACTCTTCCGTGTTGTGTTGTTTTTAACGATATATGTACCTTTCTCTGAGTTCCATGGTTTTTGATGGCTCCACGCCTATTCGTAGGCTGTTGTATATATAGATATATATATATATATATTATATTATATATATATATATATATATACCCACCCTCTCCCTCAAAAATCGAACGTGTGATGGGACTGTTGAAGTTGGATAAAGCAGCGAGACCAGATGATCTTCCTCCAGCCCTCTTTAAATTCGGGAGACCTGCTCCTGTGGATGATTCACCCGAATTCCTAGTGAAACTGTCCCAACCGACGGGAGCCGCTCCGTCATAGACCTAATTTTCAAGGGTGACTCAAGGTCGAAATGCGGCAACCATGGAGGAATCAGTCTAATCGACGTGCACTTTGTGATTGTCTAGTCAGAAAAGTTGTGCCTTAAAGATATGTAAATATGCGGATATTATACGCGCGTAGCTCCGGCAAAATGAGGGATTAGGGCAAACTATCATCGCCCTTCAATATATTCAGCGATGTGAAACAAGGATGCCCGCTGTCACCTTTCCTCTTCAATTTTGCTATTGACGAAGTCATTTAGATCGCGCTCACATGACAGAATTTAGAAGGTGTGGATCTGCTCCCAGGAGAACGACTTCTTGACTTGGAGTATGCTGACGATATTGCCCTAATCTGTGATAGCTCCGAAACGTGCTAAGCGGCACTGGCTTGCGGTCACTTCGGGCTTTGCTTCGCACCGTTTAAGTGTAAAGCTTTCCTCCAAGATTGGCCTGGAGCGCTTCCTTCGCTGACCCTTGGTGGGGATCAGCTAGAAGTCGTACAAAAGTTCAGCTACCTGGGAAATTGTGTCAGTGCCCTTGGGATCGAAGATGAAATCACGAACCGTATGGAAAATGGCCGAGGCGCTTTCGCCAACCTTAGCCGTCTATGGCGCTGGCGCGACATCACTCTCTCCCTGAAGGGTAGAGTGTACAACGCAGCTGTACGATCAACCCTATCGTACGGTTGTGAAATCTGACCCCTTAGATCAGCCGACATAAGGAGGACAGTTACGTTCGACCACCGGTGTCATCGCAGTTTGGCTCACATCTGGTGGGAACACAATATGAGCAATGAGCGTGTTCGACGCCTGGTTTACGGCACAAAGAAAGGAAATGAACCGCTCAGTACCGTTATCTCACGCACCTCGCCTTGACGGCTCGGCAGGTGTTACGCATGACAGCCTACCAATTTCCGCGACGTGCGTTGTTTGTGCGCCGAGGGTGTGGATAGAAGAAAAAAGGTGGCCAAGCGACTACTTGGTCAAGAGGAATGAAGGCCCTCAATTCGAATGGAGCGTCTCGACTTCCTGGTTAGGGTCCGAAAGACAATGAACACGTTTGACTGGATACACTTCCTGATATGGCTAGGAGCCGACCTCATCTCTTTTAGCCTCCTCCTCCAATCACGATCACACTTCGTAGCCTAATATAATTTTGCGTAATATTTATTTCGCTGCACAGTAGCCGGCTAGTAGCTTTCCGGAACGATGTTCATCCGTTACGGGTACCTCAGTTGGTATGCATGTGTTGAAATTTCTTCTTTTATGTATTGCGGCACAGTAGCTAAGGTGTTTACCACCTCTAACTAACGCGTATAACGTATGTAATGTATGTAGGCATTGTCTTATATGCGGCAGTCAGTCAGTGGCAATACGCCTTGCTTGAGAGCTTTAAAAACCACTAAAAGTCGTTCTTGTAACTTGAAGAATCATCGTCCCGTTTCGTAACCTGGGCTTCGACACTGCCGTCAACAGGATGCAAATACCAATGTTTCATTTCAGCGACATATAATCGTTACCGGTAGATACGGGACTTCTTACTGACTCGAACCAGCTGCATACAAGCCAGACAGTCTGGCCCCTATCCCGAAAGGCACCAGACAATCGTTTCGCCCTGTTGTGGCTCGTCACTTCGGGACTGTTTGTTCGAGTGACACCTGTGCACCCATTTCCATTGTTCCCTCCATATATCCCTTTATATTTTTAGTGGTGTTATTTTAGTCCATCAACAGTACGTACTGTAAACGCTGTATACGCACCCGCTTTGGTATGTAAAGCAAGTAAGAAAACGTTACAACGACGAGGGATATCTCTGGGTAGCCATTTCTTGCGTAGTCAGGATGGACATTTATTCGTTTTCAGACCGATCTAATGGGCTACTAAACGGTAACTTGGTGATCCCCAAAAATTTGGTAGAGCAAATCCGCAGAATCTGGTGGTGTTTAAGAGGACATAAGAATTCTACCGTGTACATACTCATAGAGAATGGAAGATACTTCAATGGGTCCACCTCGATAGATAAGGTGGTCCGCGATCATATCCATCCGTATTCGATAATTATCAGATACAACGGAATAAAGCTCCTTAAGGAAACCAAAACATCGTCATGCTGATGATGATGCATACACAGCAATGATGCACGAGAGTAAAAAACGTCTGGGACTTGAAGGCACAACAATCGCGGTCCGAAAGCGCGTTTTTCTAGCCCCACGTGTTTCAAGAGAGTGTGACTACTTCGAGGTAGAGGGGAGAGCGTGGCATACGCATGTATTGGCTGGACATGGAGTCCGAGTGCAATGGCATGACAAAGCGAGGCTAGCATGCACCTGGGAAACTACCGCGGATGAACGGGAAAGAAAGACCGCAATGCGAAGTGTTTAACGCCGATTTTTCATAGTTTTGCGCGGCACATGGGGTTGATGAGTACGAGGGCTAGCGGCCCACTGGATCTAGGCATTAACTTCATGATCGTTGTCTCGCGACGCATACATGAATCTGAAAACATTTGCTACACCTCAAACGCAAGTGGTAGTGAGGTAAGTGGCAGCACATACCGATTGAAACAGAGATGGGAGCTGAGATATTCGTATTCGCTATCCAACTGGCAGGAGGTGATCGAAAATTGCAGTCAACCTATAAGAGAGCGGATGTACTATGAACAGGGATCGCTCTATACCACTCAGAAAAGTGCTCTATTTTATCGGGACAAGTGATTTTCGGCACAGGAAGATCCGGTGATTGCGGGATCACTCCACAACAATATCGGTGCAAAGAGAAAAACCGAACCTATAAGAAAATCACGAAAGGGAAGACGGACATCAGTAGTACGCCGCACATCGTACAGAGGCTTTGTTGTCACGTAAACACCAAACGTTGCGGGAAGGCTGCGTATACCATAAGGTGGTCCGCACCAACGCAGATTCGAACCGATGACCTCCGGATTACAAAGCTGGCTAGCCGAACAACCTCCCCGTGGTGGCAGTTGAGTGGTTCAAGTGTAACCCACCCGTGCCGGCAAATCGTTCGGCGGTAGTGTTCTAGAAGGTGGTGGGTTTTCGTCTGGTAAGCGTTCTCTCTATAAAAAGCCACAAATGTTCGTTTATCAACACTGTGACATGTCGAATGTGACTCGCCCCAAACTAAAGTCACTGTCCCGTGGATATCTGGATAAGTATATCCAATCCACGGACATCAATCGCCTATTCTTACATCACCGACGCTATCAAACAGCCACAAATACAACGGCACACTCACAAGCACAGGCTACAAAGTTACACCTGTACACAATTACATACGCATCTATACACATTCACTGTTATGGCAAAGAGGTTGTATTTTTGTACATTTTTGTTCACACTTTGTTATCATAACATGGTCATGCCTGTAAACGCGTGCTTAGCGTTGTAGAGAATAAAAAGTTTATTTATTTAACCTTTACGGTCACCGGCCGACATGAAAACTACGGCGTTCGTGCATACTTCCATGAACCAAGGTGTAGTAGATTAATGATTGCTAAAGCTGGCTCAAAGAACCAAACGTGATGATATCCGTTTTGAGCTGATAGCCACTTCAAGTACCACTGGTGCAACGATTCTGAGGGTAAAAAGGATTTCTTGGCAAAATACTATACTATGATATATTGAACAAGCCATACGAACTCATTACAATGCTCACCGTCTTCGCACAATCAAAGCTGGACGAAACGTGGAAGCTCAAAGCAATCTCAGAGGAAAATATGTACGAAACTCCGTAGCCATTTTTGTCAACCGGCCCGAATCCACCTCCAGAGCAGCGGTGTGCATCGGGATGATCAGGGGGAATGTTAAACTCTGCCGTCTGATTTGTTGGGGTTTGGCTAGTTGAAAGGCGCCATGGTTCGCTCAAGATCTAGAAGTAATAAAGGAGGAGTGAAATGAAAAGTGCAGTCGATGAGATCTAGAAAGTGGTGGAACGAGTGAACATGAAAACAGACACACGACCTATGGAAAGTGTAAAGGCAGTAGAACATTTCGTCAAAGTTGGCTTCGCCATCTGGTTTGGTGCAGCGGCACGTAGTGCAAAGCATAAAATACACTTAACTACCTATTAGCTTATTCAGTGGACCATTAGTCCTCCTATCGCAGGTATAGTAATCACTACTCTTTCCCCAGGAATAAGACTGTTCCAGCAAACAAGGAAATTTCCACATAACTAAGTAGGGCGAAATGTAATTACAATTTGAAACAAGGAACCTCTTTCAAAATTCCAAAAAAGAGCAGACGATGTAAATTGAGATGACTTGATTATTTCATGCATCCTGAACAGTCACGAATTTGCGACCAATGATGAGTATACAAATTCACATGTAGCTGCGGAAACAGCTATGTTGTCACAGTGGTCCAGGTTTAGGTGTTAGCATTAACGAACACATCCCCAAGTGATCAGGCAGCCGGATGGGATCTGTGTCGCCAAAATCGGGTGAATTTATAAATCGAGCTACCTTGACAACTTTAGCGTATTTGCTGGCCGCCAAGTCAACGCGGATGGGTTAGCCACAGCCTCATTGCGCAATCAGCGGTCCCCATTCTCAGGCTACTGGAAGCCACTATGATTGATCGGGAGCGAACATCCCTATACGTGTACTAGAGTTGACTGTAATCTTAAGGTTGCCATTGCGGCGAAAGACGCATCGATTGGCCGCAAAGTGGAAATTGGTCCATCCCTTATGACACCATTTTTAGTCTACTTAATATTGATTGCAGGTTCGTGATCGATGAAAATGCATGAAATAAACGAGCCATCTCACAACCTCAACTTAATGTTCTTGTTTCAAATTACAGTTGTCGAATGGAAACACGAACAACGCGGTATAATGGACAGAATATACCGGCACAACTGCGTTGAATAAATGCATTCCGTAGGACAATATCTGTACCAAGTAGTGAAGACGGATTAGCACGCCTATCACCTAGAAAATCGATGGAAACTCGTTTTATCAGGCAAATGCGTGGTGCACAACGGTAAGAGCCAGATTCACAACACGCGCGAGAGTACTGATGAATCAGAAGAATGCGAAATGGTTTTTTATTAGCTTGCCGGAACGTATGAAATGGAACACACCGGACTGGATCTTGGTAGTAAACATTACAGCGCAACACTGATGTGAAACACAGGCACGCCGTAGTTGGGGAATCAAGCGCACCCAAGGCGGTGGCTGGACCGTAGTCCGCTCCACACTGAGTGCATGGAAACACTCTTCGAGCCTAGCACGGCCACAAGGACCGTGCACCCCGTCCCTTCCAATAACGACTAACTGTCTCCTGGAGACAGTATGGACGAGGTAGTGGGTAATAGATAGATAGGCACTCTGTCAACATGCACATCAAGCGCAGCCACACCTGGGATGTCGAACAACAGCCGATCATTCGAAATGCCAATATCATATAAGAGATATCGAATAACGTAAACCTATATGATGACATAAATACTCGCTAAATTAGCATATGGAGTAAAGTGGTTATAAGCGAATTCGCGATAAGTACAAAATGTCCGAAAGTTATTGAAATATTACCACGTGATAAAGTTGCGTAAGGTTACCACAATTAGCATGAGTGAGGTGTGCAAGTTAGGAGAAGATTATCAAGTACACAGAATAAACCAAATAAAGTGGAATGAATTTTATCCACATTAAAAAGACCTAGTTTAAGTGTAAATTGATTTGCCCAACTGCAGTGAAGACGCATCATGAATGCAACATCAGCCTCAGCATGGCGCACACACGTATGTATATGGTTGGCGGTATCAGGTTTCCGATTCGTCTGTCAATGTGGCCAGGTACAGGACGCCTGCGCCTACAGTGGTACCATGGGTGGCTTGTGCTTCACCACCCACAGCTCCAACCACACACCCATATCCAGTGTAAACCCAAAGGAATAAGACCGGGAGGCATGCGGATGGGAGCCACGTTTCATCAACGGAGTCGGCCCACACTCCTTCACAGGCAAACACAAGCACGTTGTATTTGGGAACCAAGTGCACACAAGGCGGTGGCTGGACCGTAGTCCGCTCCACACTGAGTGCATGGAACCGCTCTTTGAGCCTAGCACGACTACACGGACGTGGCATCCCGTCTCATCCAACAACGACCCACTGTCTCCTGGAGACAGTATGCACGAGGTAGTGGGTAATAGACAGGTGGGCACTTTGTCAACATGCACATCAACCGCAGCCACACTTGGGATGTCAAACAACAGCAAATTATTCGAAATGCCAATATCATATAAGAGATATCGAATAAAGTAAACCTATATGACGACATTAACACTCGCTAAATTAGCATATGGAGTACAGTAGTTATAAGCGAATTCGCGATAAGTAAAGATGTTCAAAAGTTATTGAAAAATTTCCACATGAGAAAATTGCGCAAGGTTATCACGATTAGCATGAAGGAAGTGCGCAAGTTAGATTATCAAGTACGCAGAACAAACCAAATCCAGTAGAATGAATTTTATCCACATTAAAAAGACCTAGTTTATAAATATAAATATGTACTTATATATATATATATATATATATATATATATATATATATATATGCCATTTTCACCTTAAAATGGACATTTCTCAAACCACATTGGACATTTTGCAAACCAAATTGGACATTTTGCAAACCACATTGGACATTTCGCAAACCACATTGGACATTTTGCAAACCAAATTGGACATTTTGCAAATCACATTGGACATTTTACAAACCACATTGGACATTTTGCAAACCACTTTGGACGATTTGCAAAACATATAGGACATTTTGCAAAACAAATTGGACACGTTGCAATCTAAGTAGCAACTCGCCAATTTGTTGGTAAGAAACGAGCAGTATGACTGCTGAATGATGTTCAGAATATACATTGTGATGACGCTAATACACTGGCATTGTGTAAGCAGCGGGCTACACTGTAAAACATTTCCTTGATCGTGAGCAGCGACCGAAGTTCTGAACTACGCTCCCCTCTCCCCATTGACATTCGCCTAGTTGGTGTGCAGTGCCCATACGCATCAACCTGTGTAGGTGTGTGACAATTGGAAAATTGGACGTCCGAATCGTAATTGTGTATCAATCATTTTGTGAGTGGATTGCGATGCGCAATCTCAATGTGCACCGTTATTCTCATTAGAGGGAACCTTGTCCGATTCGGTCGATGGGACCATGTCGGATGAAGCAGGTAGGCGGTGTCCCAGCTTCGCCCGTCTCTCTATTAGCTTTCGCAACTGCCACGTTATTGTATCAGGGTAGGCTGTAATGACCCCCCAGCAAAACCAGTCTAGATCTATAGCCTATTGTTGCAACATATCAACTACTGAGGTGTGGGCCGATTACACGATGTTCAAGCCACATTGTGGTCAAGATAATGTAACCGAACTGTGTACGTAGCGGGTGATTGTGTAAGCCCTTCTCTTGACATGAGTGCCGTTCGCCTCGGTCAAAATCGGTGACCTATTTTCCCCTACCCCTCCCCCCCATAGGAATTCGTGTGTTTTGTCTGGGTGTGTGGACCGACCTATGCAGCGGTACCACTATTGGAGCCGAGCATACGGTAATGGTTCCACTCAAGACAACTTAGCTTTATTAGCTCCGTGCCGCACGAAACGACCAAAATGAGTGACGAACAACAGGAGAGCTGATGTCCGACGCGACAGCACTGCAGGCGAACATCATTTGCGCAAAGAGAAATTCTCACAAAACTTGTGCTGGTCGACGGCAAAACTACTCGGGAAGCCGCTGAAGTCGCCGGTGTTAACGCGAGTACGGCAAGGAACATCATTAATGCTTACAAGCAAGAAGGCTCAAATACACAGCGCACCTGCGGTGGAAACAATAGGGAGAAGCTAACTCCCAAAGTATTGCAGCGCGTCGAAGAAGCGGTTGAACGGCACTCTGAGGACACGTTGGTGCAGCTGCAGATGCGCCTGAGAGAGAATGGGATAAACCTATCAGTATCGTCTGTCTTCAATGCCATCAGAAGACTAAAGATAACTCTCAAAAAGTGTCATTACGAGGTCGACCGAGTCAACAGTGCCACGACAATCGCTAGCCGACAGGCGTACGCTCTCGAGTTCTCGGCACATGCACCTTCTAACAAGGAAGAATGCATCTTCATGGATGAGAGTGGTTTCAACCTTCATCTGAGGCGAACTCAGATTCGCTCAAGAAGAGGGACGCGCGCGAACGTCGTGTTACCCACAGTCAGAGGTCGCATGGTAACCCGGATTGTTGCAATGAATAACCAAGGCGTCATCCATTCAAAGGTCATTAACGATGGCACCTGCAATGGTGCGAAGTTCTCAGCGTTCGTCGAGGAACTGGTGGCGCGTATAAGCTGCATAGTGGAGATGAACGGCGCGTGGCTGATCATGGACAATGCCAGGATCCATATGCCTGATGAGCTAAGGAGGATCCTTGGTTCGTCTTATCACCTGCAGTTCTTGCCGCCCTACTCGTACATGCTAAACCCGGTAGAACACATCTTTTCAAAGGTGAAAGCATCGGCGAGACGTCTGCTTATGTTATGTGGACCCAACGTCCAATCATTATTAGAGGCTTAATTACGGAAGGCTGAAAACCCGATTCACTCGAGTGAACATGTATTCAGACCAGACAAAACGCACACGTTTCAGTCAGCCCTCTAACTCGTGTAACATGCACTTTGTTTAGTCTTTGCACCCAGAAACAGTCTTGTTTCCAACCAAACACGCATTGTTGTATCCAAGCAACATTCATTTTTCCGGACAACTCTCGCCAAACTTCCAACATTTCTGCTCAGTTTACGGACTTTGCACATTTACACAAAACCATGTTTCTTGTTTCCAGGGTTTGGTTACGCAAACCCTTCCAAGGAAAAGCCCCCCTTCATCTCTGTTTCGTGATATAAAAATGAGGCTGTAGAACGCTAGAATCGCCTTCGCTTTGGCCAGTAAAAGCGCCTGTGGCAAAGGCCTGTCTTGCTCTTGCTTCAGTCTTGGGTTGGGAAATCGTGCGTAGAAACTTTGCGTTCGGTCTAGGAACCTGCTCGACTCGCGGCTAAGTTCCGATAACCCACAGACTTCGAGATTGTCAGTTACCGTGCCGTGCGAGAAATAATTCTGAGTCTCGTTCGTTCGTCCGACTAGGATAGTTGGTATCACATTGTTAGTACCTGACGTATTGAAGAGGTAGTATTCAACAGCTTATTAACCCCACACCTGAGCAGAGGCTGAGCACGGTATTTCAGGACAGCGTTGGGATGGTAACGCAGCAGGACTGCATAAACTGCGTTCTCAATACGATGATGAACCTGACGAAAGCGACAGCCGGACAACCCTTCGTCAACTGATCTTTGCTATGGTTACTGCCTTATTTTTCGTTAATACACCATTTCAATTTCAAAATGTGCGCTTTAAACATTAACAGTTGGCTCAGCGTGTAAGAGTAGGACGGTCACCGAGAATTCGAGAGCGTACGCCTGTCGGCTAGCGATTGTCGTGGCACTGTTGACTCGGTCGACCTCGTAATGACACTTTTTGAGAGTTATCTTTAGTCTTCTGATGGCATTGAAGACAGACGATACTGATAGGTTTATCCCATTCTCTCTCAGGCGCATCTGCAGCTGCACCAACGTGTCCTCAGAGTGCCGTTCAACCGCTTCTTCGACGCGCTGCAATACTTTGGGAGTTAGCTTCTCCCTATTGTTTCCACCGCAGGTGCGCTGTGTATTTGAGCCTTCTTGCTTGTAAGCATTAATGATGTTCCTTGCCGTACTCGCGTTAACACCGGCGACTTCAGCGGCTTCCCGAGTAGTTTTGCTGTCGACCAGCACAAGTTTTGTGAGAATTTCTCTTTGCACAAATGATGTTCGCCTGCAGTGCTGTCGCGTCGGACATCAGCTCTCCTGTTGTTCGTCACTCATTTTGGTCGTTTCGTGCGGCACGGAGCTAATAAAGCTAAGTTGTCTTGAGTGGAACCATTACCGTATGCTCGGCTCCAATAGTGGTACCGCTGCATAGGTCGGTCCACACACCCAGACAAAACACACGAATTCCTATGGGGGGGAGGGGTAGGGGAAAATAGGTCACCGATTTTGACCGAGGCGAACGGCACTCATGTCAAGAGAAGGGCTTACACAATCACCCGCTACGTACACAGTTCGGTTACATTATCGTGACCACAATGTGGCTTGAACATCGTGTAATCGGCCCACACCTCAGTAGTTGATATGTTGCAACAATAGGCTATAGATCTAGACTGGTTTTGCTGGGGGGTCATTACAGCCTACCCTGATACAATAACGTGGCAGTTGCGAAAGCTAATAGAGAGACGGGCGAAGCTGGGACACCGCCTACCTGCTTCATCCGACATGGTCCCATCGACCGAATCGGACAAGGTTCCCTCTAATGAGAATAACGGTGCACATTGAGATTGCGCATCGCAATCCACTCACAAAATGATTGATACACAATTACGATTCGGACGTCCAATTTTCCAATTGTCACACACCTACACAGGTTGATGCGTATGGGCACTGCACACCAACTAGGCGAATGTCAATGGGGAGAGGGGAGCGTAGTTCAGAACTTCGGTCGCTGCTCACGATCAAGGAAATGTTTTACAGTGTAGCCCGCTGCTTACACAATGCCAGTGTATTAGCGTCATCACAATGTATATTCTGAACATCATTCAGCAGTCTTACTGCTCGTTTCTTACCAACAAATTGGCGAGTTGCTACTTAGATTGCAACGTGTCCAATTTGTTTTGCAAAATGTCCAATATGTTTTGCAAATTGTCCAAAGTGGTTTGCAAAATGTCCAATGTGGTTTGAAAAATGTTCAATGTGGTTTGCAAAATGTCCAATTTGGTATGCAAATTGTCCAAAGTGGTTTGCAAAATGTCCAATGTGGTTTGCAAAATGTCCAATATGGTTTGCAAAATGTCCAATGTGTTTTGAAAAATGTCCAGTTTAAAGTGAAAATGGTATATTTGCATATATATATATATATATATATATATATATATATATATATATATATATATGTACTCAGGAGTATACGGTCATTCGCAGTAGCTTCCATATCACTAGCCCTCCGCACCCCCGGAAATGCACTAGACGGCCGTCTTAGCCTGTTGGGCGTCGTCAGTAGTGCATATCTACTGGATCTATTAAGATTTGAATTCATGACCACCAGCGGCATGCACTGCCAGCCAACACCTTATGCCACCGACTAAGGGTCCGTGGAGTCGCTTCCGCAATATCCTTGGCCCGCTCCTACCCGTATCGGACTGGTGTCAGTAAAGCGGAAGAAAGTGTTTATATCGATGGGCAGTAATGGAGTACAGTGACATGCACTGAGAGAACGACATACATAAAAGAAAACGGATCATTGGTAAGGAAGAGAACCGCTTGGCCGTGAAATGTAACAACGGTGCGTGGGTCGTTAAAAAGAATGTGTCATGGCGCGACCAGACAGAAAAGTAAAACAATAGGAGCAAACTAAATCGGAACTGCGTAGTCAAAAGACGGTTACCTTCTTCAGAAACGGGCTTTCCAAACGGAGAAACTTGGACATGATGTAGAGCGCGAATAGGTGACGATCAACACCCTTACCGGACATGGCATCTTTGGTCAGTCTCTGGTGTCGGTCGGTGGCAATTCGAAACTGACGGGCGCGGTACTCTAGCTAGAGAAGGGATATGAGGAATGCACTTGGGGGAGTACACATTTCTGGAGGTACAAAACACATCTAGACTAGTGAGAAAGTAGCCGGTCAATAGTCTAATCGAGTGAAACCACCGCATTGTATCAGTCACCAGAATACTGGAAATCCTGAGGGTTCAACTGACATGTGAATCAGTAAGAGACGTGGTGAGCGAATTTCATCGCTTAGCAGAAGGAATAAAAGGACAAAAAAGAATTTTACCGGGGACATTTCGGATGGCTCTCACAACAAATGATTGAGCAGTTTAACAAGAGAAAGAAAGAAATGAATAACAAATGCAGAATAATCGGTTCAAATTTATTTTACGTGTTAACGGGCACGGTAACGTACCGTTGCACCATTGTCAAGCATGGCCCGAACGAATTCAGTAGCCTCAGCCGTGCACGAGCGAACCGTTTCTGTGCGTCCCTCACGGAATAAGCGCGTCATACTGGACTCGTACACTAAAGCCATACTGCCCATGTCCTGAGGCGTAATAAGATGAGCGAAATGAGAACAAATAGGTAATCAGAAGATGGACGAGAAAAATATTTAAATTACTTGGTACAGTGTGGAATCACTTTGTTACTTGGTTGTTGATGCCTAGTGGGCGGCGAAACAACTCGAAACATTCAAGAATAAAATTTTATTTATTTATTTACAACGTCAGTTGTAAAGTATTCGATATGGGGGCTCAGTGCACAACTGTTCACGGTGCAGATACCTGCAAACTAAGAGCAAGGCAACTTCGAAAGGTAATGGAACTGAAAACAACCAATCACTGTTAAATATTCGTAGATTTTAACACCTGCGCGATTTTACTGAGCCCAAACGTCGTGCAGTCGATTGCTTATCTTCTTGATCCATTTGATCCAAGCTGAACAAGTATTTCCAGTCCACAACGGAAAGGCTGAGGATAAGATCTCAGACAAGCTTAGTTTTAAAATCGTCCTCATTGAAAGCAAATAGAAGTTGACGACCCTCCACACTCTCAACAGAGGTAGATCAAAAACACCATCCATTGTTTCGGACGGTAGGAGAGCGCCTTTGTCAAGCAGTTCCAAGCTTGGCATATTTGGAAAACGCAACTGCGAGTGTACCATTTCTATAGTCGAAGATAAACATAACCTGTTTTGACCGTGTGACTGGCCATAATCAGACCACATGAAACCCTACTGAACCCGATTCTTACCGCCTTTTCAATCAGACTGTGGTGTACCGAGAGCAGTATTACACTGCTTGCCACAAACTGCCAACCAGTTTCAGTGAATATTAGTGAAGCACAAAAAGAACTGACAACTTGGGGGGGGGAGTCGTGAAGACACATAGCGGAGAGCATCATCATCAGTGTACATGTTAGTTAGAGGTGGAAAACACCTCAACTACTGTACCGCAATACATGAACGAAAAAAGAAGATAAATGCAACAGTTGCATGTCAGCTGAGCTACCGGCGAAGGATGGGCATCGTTCCGGTAAGCTACCAGCCGGCTAATATGCAGCAAAAAAATTAATTATGCAAAATTACATAAGGCTAAGTAGTGAGATTGTGGTTGGAAGGGAGCCTAAGAGGGATAAGACGGAGAAGGAAACTCACAGCACGAATGCCACTGAGGTCGGCTCCTAGCCATGTCCACCCAAATGTGTTCATCGTCTTTTGGACCCCAACCAGGAAGTCAAGACACTCCAACCGAAGCCAGCTTCGAAGTGAGAGCCTTCAATCCTCCGGATCAAGTCATCGCTTGGCCACCTCTTCTCTTCTTTCACCCACACTCCCGGCGCACAAACAACCTACGTCGCGGAAGTTGGTGGGCTGGCATGCGTAACACGTGCCCGAGCCATCGGAGCCTGGTGCGTGAAATAACGGTGATGAGCGGTTCGCTCCTTCTTTCTGCGTCATAAACAAAGCGTCGAACTCGCTCACACGGTGTTCCCACCAGATATGTGCCAAATTGCGAAGATACCGGTATTCGAAGGTCCACAGATCTAAGGAGCCAGGTTTTACAACCGTACAGTAGGGTCGAACGTACCGCTGCATTGTACACTCTAGCCTTCAGGGCGAGGGTGATGTCGTGCCGGTGCCACAGGTGGCTAAGATTAGCAAAAGCGCCTCGAACTTTTTCTATACGGTTCGTTATCACATCTTCGATCCCAAGGGCGCTGATACAACTTCCCAGGTAGTTGAATTTTTGAACGACTTCTAGCTGATCCCCACCAAGGATCAGCGCAGGAGGTGGTCCAGGGCAACGTCAGAGGAACACTATGCATTTAGAAGGTGCGAAGCAAAGCCCGAAGTGACGGACAGCCAGTGTCCAGTGCAGCTTGGCACGTTTGTGAGCTGTCACAGATTAGGGCAATATCGTCAGCATATTCCTAAGTCAAGAAGTCCTAGGAGCAGATCCAAACCTTCTGTCGTGTCCTGTAAACGTGATTTACATGACTTCGTCAATAGCAAAATTGAAGAGGAAAGGTGACAGCGGACATCCTTATCGCACACCGCTTGAGATATTAAAGGGCAGCGATAGTTTGCCGTAACCCCTCACTTTATCCGAGCTACGCGCATATAATGCTTGGATAATATTCATATATTTCTCGAGCACACCGTTTCTAACTACTAAACAGTCCCAAAATACACATCGATCAACCGAATCGAAGGCACCTTTGATGTCGAGGAACACGACTACGGTGGGCCGCCAATATGTGTGACGGTGCTCCAACAACTGACGCAAAATGAAGATGTGGCAATGCAGCCACGACCTCGACGAAAGCCGGTTTACTCTTCACGAATCTGGCTTTCAAGAGTGCCAGTCAGTCGGTGAAGGATGAAGAGGCAAACAATTTGGAGGCGATGGAGATTAGACTGATTCCTCTATGATCGCCGCATTCCGATAGTTAGCCTCCCTTGAAAATTGGGACTATGACGGAGCGGCTCCAGCCGTCTGGGACAGTTTCCTGCTCCTACAGTTTCACTAGTAACTCGTTTAAATCATCCACAAGAGCAGGTCCTCTAAATTTGATGAGGACTGGGGGAAGACCAGCTAGTCCCGCGGCTTTATTTAACTTCAACGGGCCGATCGCATGTTCGATTTCTGAGCGAGGGGGTGGATCCAAAGGGGCAGTCCACGGAGCAGGACGATCACTGGCCGATGAGAAATCTGACAATTCCGACCGATTAAATTGCCTTTCAAAGTTCTCAGGCCAACGCTCCAAGCGTTTTGACAGGTTGTAGATAAGCTGTCCACTCTCGCCAGGTATAGTTTTACTAACATCAGGCCTCCTGATGCCCGTTTCTCTCATCAGACGGAATAACTTTCGATGGTTACCAAGGGCAGCGTCTATTTCCATCTCTGATGCACGATGAGACCACGAGGATTCGCGGTCTCTTTAAGCAAGCACGGAGTTTTGCCCAGAGGTTTCTGCGAGTTTCATTGTGTTCGCTTTCATCCGGAATGTGCCGGCGAGCATCAATAAGTTCCAGAGACTGCGAAGATACTCAAGATCCATGTTGCTAATTAGACTTACCACATGAAGATTTTCCTGCTGCTAGTAAGGTCTGGTGAACATGAGACCAGGGAGCTACGACTATGTCTAGTGAGCGATCACTTAACTCGAATGTCAGCGTACTTTGGTAGGCATTCAGAACAGCAGGCTACATCAGTTGGCTGGTGTCTATGCGCTCACAGCGTCGTCGTGGGCCATCGCCAAAACGCATCCGCAAGTCTGCACATACAAGTAGAAGTCGTCTTTTATCGAATCATCGCGTACATTGAGGCATGTCAATCTGAAGGAGGATCGAGGGCTCCAAATGGAAGCCGATGAACTGGGCTTAACCGCTTGCTTGGACATGGGCTTATCGACAGGGGTGACTCTCTGCGTTTGTGAGTTGAAACCAGAAGATAAACGCGTATCAAAGCTAGGTGGGAAAGGGCCAAGTATTGGGGTGGGGGGGGGGGAAGAAGTGAACCTGGAATGGGACAGTAAGGGTGAAAAAGCTCAAAAGGAGGAATAGGAAGATGGGAAGGTTTGAGGAGTAGCATCCAAACTGCTATCCACCCTGCGTGAGGCACCGTTGAGTATCCTCTGCGGTGGCCAGAGCATCAAAAAATTGCTTAAGGAAAGATTTATAGTGTTGCGTGGGCAGAATACTGTCAGGTTGTCCAGGCCTAGACAGGAGAACGATTAAGGTTCTCAAACAAACCTTTTGGTTTAAAAACCTGACCGCCAGGCAGCGGGTTTGGTGTTTGGCTACAAGGAGTCCGTTTTAAGGAATAAGGCGCCACTCTCATTCTACCCCCCAACCTGGAGGACCAGGAGGCTGAGTTTGTCTGGCCTCTAACCATTGACCAAGCAGATATGAATTGCTCTGAAGGTGCAAAAAAGCACCACCCAGCATAGTTCAATGGATCACTGAAGCATGCAAACCATCGCAGCACGGTAAGGTCCAGCCTCATTGCGATGGAAAAGGGGAAAGCAAATGAGTGGTGTCCTGGTAAGAAGTTGAAGGCACCACTTGTTGTAACGAGCAAAGTTCTTGCACAATCTGGGGTTCGGATGTATTCGTCAAAATAAACCCCAGCTTTCTCCCTGTTTTGCGACCCACATTATAAGACCAGAATTCAGAGGTGGGTGTCGTCGAAGCAAACCGTTATTTCGGAATAGAAAACCGTGGATTGCTACCTGTCAACATGACTGCGTCACCGCCCCTTCTTTCTCCAATTCTTCTCCGGGCATCTTTCCCTATGTATGAGTAGCTGCTGTGTGGGTTAATCGATGATTCTACGTTCAGATGCACGCTCAGCTCGCAACCAATTAGTTGTATTATCGATTGATCGCGAATACTCATTGCGCCTATAAAGAGGGGAGTCATTGAACAAAATACACAGTTCCAAGTGCGTCATCGTTTTGTTCTGTTTATCATTCGTGCGTGTCCAGGGTATTTATACTGAGGCCCGGTTGCGGATAGGCCTACTGCGATTACTGAGATACAACAGTGGTCATCACGGACTCCACGAATGATACTAATTGCGCAACGTACTCGCGTTTTGAGTCTAATGTCTCAATTCAAGTGGCGTTCGAGACACAAATTGTGTCGTGGGGTTAGATAGCCAGCAACTTGTTCACTACTATCATCTGCGCAGAACAGGCGCAACATTCGGTGTCTCTGAAACAAACATGCAAGCTTACAACGTCCGAAGGAGCTGTTAACCAACTAGTTCAGACCACGGTTGTTGGTAGTTTGGTTCTTCGCGTCTGCAGAAAAGGTCTGCCAGTGGCAATCCTCTGCCGTACTCAATATTGTGAGGAACGTTCCGGGAAGCAGTTTGTCGGTCCGCTGTGTCGAGGTTGCTTGTTGAATCAACGGAATCATCTTGGGATGTTGGTGTATTGAGTGAATGTTGACTGTCGTTGTGAGTGTTGGGTGTTTTTAAAGTGGTGTAGGGTTGAAAAACTGGATGAAACGTAAACTTAACTCAAATCTTAATAAAGATTTTAATGTTTAACTTAACCGCATTGAATAATGGCACAGGAAGAAGGACGCTGTTGCAAGCAGAGTACAGCATAAACGGACTAATATGATCGAATTAAAAGGAAAAAGCACAAACCAGCTGGAGTGTATGCAAAATTATCGTGACCACCAAATCTACAACTTGCCATAAAGTATGCCAGCTGTAAAGCCATTTGCACGAACGCGTCGGGAGAGAATCCCATTTTTTTCATAAAGCCACGACCGAAATCGCGGAAACGGACGACGACTAAATCGATGGAATCTGCCAGAGTACGGGCGACACGGTAGGAGGATTTTATCACTTCGGAGCACTAGGGGGAGAAGGAACATGTGTTGTTAGAAAGGGGAGATTGGACACATTTGAGCTAATGATCTGATCGAACGAAATAGCGGTTAGGTAGGGGAATTGTGCCTTTTAGTGCGAATGTTGACTATCATGCTGCGGTAAAACGCATGACAAAGAAGGACGAGCCGCTGAATCGCAGAGAATGAACGTTGTAGAGAACGGGTGGGTGGCGTAACAGGACCTCATTGGGCAAAACTAAGAGAACTAAAGTAGTCACCGCTCAGTAAGCTGAGCTTAGGTCCAGTTGTTCACTGAACTGGGACGCACAGTGCACTGTGGGTAGGTGAGTACGCTGCAAAACGTACCGGCTCGACCGCTAATCGCCTGAACAAGTTAACGTGCGTCCAAGTCAATCTAGAGTGGTGGCTGAAATAAACGACAGAGCCACATAGCGTACTTCAGAGTAGCTTAGTGGGGGTCTTCAACACAGACCGAAGATTCGCCACATATTGACGGAAACGCACCTGGGGCGATATATCCCATCGGAGTCGGCTTGGAAGCACACGGTTGTTCACTGTGCCATCGCAAGACCCGCCCTTCACATAACTAGGACGGAGAAGAAACGCAGAGTAAAAAAATATAAACGGGACGTGTAATTCCAAGCACGGGTATGAGAAAACAAACAAATCAACGTGAAACGAGAAAAAAGGCAGCGGGCAAGTATTTGTAAACTAACCAACACGGCAAGGAGGTAAAAAGAAAAAACTAACCAGTGGTCACTTTCCCAAATGAGGAAAAAACAAGCTGAGAGTGCAGTGCAAATGTTACCTTACCACTCCTGCTGTGAATACCGGGAAAATCACCTGATGAGAAAAGTAACAAAGAAGCTAAACGAGAAAGTGTATTATGAAGTTGAAGGAGTGGTAGCCTCGTGGTGACAATGGATGGTGCACAGAGAAAAACAACAAACGACAGTCCAATGGCTGCTCACATTGCTACGGAACAGGTAGTTGGAGCGCGGGTTAGTAAGGCGTTATTGCATGGGGAGTGTGAGCAGCGGGTAGACTGAGAACAGAAGATCTCATAAACTGTGACAAAGAGCCTCAACCTGCGTACGGTCGCCACAACTGCTTAGCAGATAACCGTTGTTAACAGCTAAGGATGACAAAAGCCAGAACATGGGAAGCACAAGACAGTTGCACAACCGCCAGCAATAAGCTCGTACTAGCTTGCAATGTCACTGGCCAGTTAAGTTACTGTAGAGAATGAGACCGAACATCGTAGTAGCCAGTGCAAAAGCTGAGTAGGAATACGCTTCATTATAGGCCTATTGGTAAAGAATGTTAACAGGCGTTAACGTGGCTTCTTATCAAGCCAATGAAAAGTACGGTGATGACGACGGGCACGACAGCCAGTCACTGCGCCTCCGAGTGAGCAGCATCTGGAAGTCCCATTGTGATCACAAGCACTCAATTTTGTTATGATCCTCGTGCAAAGGAGTGACAATTAATAGATTATGCACGTGAGTTATCCAAATCAGAAAGATCAATCAGCAGGAGTCGGGTAACTGTTTCCTAATCTTCCAAGTTAGAGGTGGGAAACAAGACAACACCAGCTTTTGCAATTATTGATTCAACTTGTCGATGATTTCTCTATTCTCAAGAGCACTGTGACCAAGCTTTTAGCCAACGCCTTTGGTTAAGGACCTTAGCTGCACAGATGCTTTGCTTTGGGCCTCCTGTTAGTGTCCAGACGCACGTACAGTCATGCCCACTCCAAAAGATTCTAGCCTTGCACTGTATCGACTACCACAAAGGTTCACTGCATTTAGCAGAGAAGATAAGTAAATATAGGTCACTGTTAATTTCTTCCTGCGCTTTCCGCTTCGATGTGTTCAATGTTCATACCTCAATACAGATAGGGCAATGCACACACAGTGCACACCCGTGATGTTGAAACTAAGGTCCATCCTAAGCGGCAGTCGCACCAATCATGTCTAGTCCACTTTTCCGCTACTGATTACACGGGTCTATAGGTCATGGTGCAGCGACCAGTTGGGGTGGACAACATCCTCAGCTCCAGCGCTGGTTGACTGGATTCTCATGGACAAACGCATGTGTGCATCTCGCTAAATTTCAACCGAAACAAATACGTGGAGCAGTGTCATATACTGATTGTTTGTGGTTGTAGCTTAAGCGTCAAGACACGGTAGTTCCGATTCTGCGGGAACTTTGACTATGAGCTTGTAAACTACCTCGCAGCGCTACAAGTTTGGAAATATTTCTATTTGTTGATGATACAAACGCGCAAGTAAGCTATATAAATTCTCTATAAACTCAAGTAGAGAAAACGCTCACACCCAACTTCGTGCGCAAGGCAATGGCAAGCGTCTGTTGCACCTGTGCTCCGATGAACGGCTTATTCCAAGTAGCACTACTTTCAGACAGACCACGTCGACATAATTCCCAGTTGACGTCTGTCGATCTATGGCACACTTTCGATCTTCGCTAAGCACTGCTTTGGAACGCAGTAAATAATACCAGCAATTGATAATCAAGAAGTCCAAATTCACAGTATAGTAAGCTCACTAGGCGTACTATGCACTAAGCTATCGACCATACTTGCTCCAAGAAGATTGATATTCAGCTATATGTGGCTTCTAACTAAACAAACGATGCGGGACTTCCTGTTTGGAACATCAACAATCGTGACCGGACCGGACACTAGATAGCTGAAAATGGGTGGACCCGTGGCAGTAGACTTAGAATCCTCATCGACAAGTGGTCAATGTGATAAGGTAGGATACTGAGAAAGTGACAAAAGACAGCCTGACGGACTCAAAGAGTTGGAGAAAGAAAGGAGTCAGGAGCAGCAAGGAACTCTGCAGACTTTTCCAACTAATGAGGAATGGCATCGTGTACGCTTGAGAAGCAGTCTCAGGAGCAAATCAGTTAGATTAGTACTCATATGACGAAAAATGAACCAAACTTGGACGTGAACAAAGCTTAACCAAGTATGCATCACAGGTCGAAGTATTCCTTGCTGATTAAGTGTGGTAGCGAGCTACTCTGAAGAAGATAAAAATCCGTTATAACAGATTGAGAAAAGGATTGCTCCAGTTAACCCGGAAGAACCGAACATAGTAATAAATATTCACATGGCACTCGCTTGATGGAGGTTTTCGCAAATTGGTCACACGCCATCCCTATACGCAACCTTGCGTGGAAATTGGGATCATTATCATCAGCATTAAAAAAACTTTGAAAAACATTTCAACTACTGTGATACAGTACAAAAAGACAAGATATGCGAAAAAGCGAGATAATAAAGATTATAGAATACAAACGCAGGTAACATACTGCTTAGTAAGATATTGTGCTTCAAGAGAGAGATCATGGTTGGAAGGGGAAGATAAGCGGGATGAGTAGGGACAAAGAAAGTTACAACACAAACGCCACTGAGGTCGAATCCTTGTCATATTAACTAAGGTATACAGACAAACGTGTTCATCGTTCTTCGGTCCCCAGCCCACTAGTCAGGAAACACCAACTCCAAAGTTAGGACCTTCATTCCTGTTGATTAAGTTATCGCTTGGCCTCCACTCCTATTCTTCCATCCACAACCGCAAACAACGCACGACGCAGGAGTCGGTGGGCTGGTATGCGCAACATCTGGCCTGGCTATCGGAAAAGGGTGTGCGATATCAGCTGATTTTCGAAGTGTTCGGCCCAACGTTCCAAGCGTTTTGACAAATTGTGGGTTGGCCGTCAACTCTCGTCACGTATAGTCTCGCTAACACCAGGTCTCCAGGCTACCCGTTCCTCGTATCAGACGTGAATACCTTACGATGGTAACCAAGAGCAGTGGCTTTCTCCATCTCCGAGACACAATGAGACCACCACGCTTCGAAATCTCTCTTCAGGCTAGCACGCAATCTTATCCTGAGGTATTTGCGAGTCTTGTGTTCGCTAAAAAGCCGGAATGTGTCGGCGAGCATCCAAAAGTTCCAGAGACAGTATGGAGACCTAATGTCTCGGTTGGCAATTTGATTTGCCACATGAAGACATGCATGTTGCTAATAACGTCTGATGGATATGTAACCAGTGATTTTCAACTGCGTTCAGTACGCGCTTACTCAGCTGGGATGCCAGCGTACTTTGATACGCATTCAGAACATCTGACTTCGTCATTCGGCAAACTACTATAGGCTCACAATGCCGTTTCGGACATCTGCCGAAACGCACCCGCAGGTCGGCACAAACAAGTGCGTGGTTAGAGTCTACGCTCGCGCTCCAAATCGAGCGACAGTTTTAGACGCAGCTTCTCCAGCGGTAATCCATCGCGAGATGGACGATTTGCGTCCATAACTGGTCCGAGGCTGGTGGGCGCCATGTTACCCTCCGACGGGTGCTGTATCAAAAGTTAGTGTTCGCAAGAAATAGACGAGCATCTTCATGCAAATGAAGTAATCGCCCACCGTTATCATTACGGGAGCCTACACTGTCATGGCTGCCTAAATGTAGCTCATTAGTGGACGGTTTTCCAACTTGAGCGTTCAGATCTCCAGCCAGCATCACAGTATCAGTGTATTTCCCGTAATGAAGGAGATCGTTCAGTTGGTGATAGAATTCATCTTTCACCGAATCAGCGCTACAGTTTTTGGGGGCTTAGGCCGCAATAACAGACAGGGACGGTTTGTCTGCGTGCGACTTCGAAGCTCTGAACGAGCCAGCCTATCTGACGTCGCAGAGTTGGCTGTTGATTAGGATCCAGTCATCCAGGGCAGCTTCAGCTCGAGGACTCAGAGCAATGCCCACACCGGCATGACCAGTATTTGTGACAGCTTTATCTCCAGATATACGCAATGGAAAATTGTCGCCAGTGTCGCTTGTGTGCGATCGCAGGGTAATCACGGAACTCGAATCTTGCAGGCGTTTCCGATAAGCAGCAGATGTCGATCAATAGAGTCTCTAGTGCAAGTGCTGCCTGTTGTCCAGTCTGCAATAAAGAGGCATGCCAGTCTTACCGATGATCGGGGGTTCCAAAGAGAAACGGTTGAACTGACGTCCGCTTGGCTGAACATGGACCTGTCAACGGGACTGGGGCAACACCCTGCGATTGCGTGTGAGTCAGAACTAGAAGACCAGCGATCACTGAAGCAAGATGTGGGACGGCCAAGAATTGAGGAACTGGAAACAAGGGGGATAAACGTGAAGTTGGAGCTAGACGATGAGGAAGAAAATGCGCAAGAGGAAGAATAAGAAAACGGGAAGTTTGAGCAATAGCATCCTCACTCCTGTCCACTCTGATTAATGCAGCATATATGGCGCCGTTGATTATCCTCTGAGATGACCAGAGCATGGAGGAACTGACTGAAGGAAATTCCTTGTGAAACTGGGCATCCGGACAAGAAGACAGCCAGATCTCCAACCGGGATTACTTAGATTACATCGGTTCTATGATGAAAGCGTACACGAAAATGAGTACAGAAAAAAGAATGGAGAATGGCGCACACAGTATATGGCGAACACGGAAATACACCAGTTCGGTCGCTTTGCACATAAACAACTGCCCTGAGTGCTAAACCCACCATAACTCCTTCAGAATACTCAACATGCAGAGCACTGCTCGCCTACTGCAGTTTGCCGAAGCCTCAGCGATGCGGTGGTTCAAACGCACTTGGTGTAACCAGACCGAGTTCTTGAGCATTTTATGGTGGCAGGCCCGAAGATCAGTCCAGAGGAAGGGAATTATTTGTGCGCATACAAGTGTCCCCTATATAGTGACACCGGTGAACCGTGCTGGTTGGGGATGTTGGAATGGCAGCGCGTGTCGCAGGTGTACGAAGGATCCGACCGTTGGCGTGTTTTTGGTTTACTAAAATGACGTGAACTGACAGCCCACATTTAGAATCGGTCGTCTAGGTGTACAACGAAAGAAGTAAGTTCGATTGCCATTGTACGCATCGCACTCTAACAAACCGAGTACATCTGCAGACTGCTGCGAACTTTCCATCCAAGCGTACTCTGAGTGGGAAATTTACCATGTGCGCATCCTTCCATGTGCAGTACCACTGTGAAGAAATGGCGATCGGACATTTGACGCGGTCACTAACCTCATCAAGCCAAGGTTAGAGTAGCCACGAACTCCGTCTGGGCACACCAAGTGCGTTTGACCCACCGCATCGATGAGGCTTCAGCAAACTGCAGAGTGATCCATGGTGGACTTGGCACGTAGGGCAGTCGTTTATGTGCAAAGCGACCGAACTGGTGTATTTCCGTGTTCGCCATTCTCCGAGGGTGAAATTTTCTGTGTGCGCTTTTTCCGTGTACGCATTTTTCATATACGCTTTTTGTTGTATGCAATTTTCGTGTACGCTTTTTCCCCGTCACCGATTAAATCATCTCAGATGTTGCAACGATGTCACGCTTAGCACATGAGTCTATTGTTGCGTGCTACAACACGTTAGACAGTCCATACTCTTCGATATACTAGCTCAGGAAGCCGTTTAAATTAAATATGAGAACATTTTGCGCGCTCTGTACAGGCGTGCTTTAGATTGCATCATGTGCTACGGTGCGCTGTCGGACACCGTTCGACAACAAGCGGCGCTCGTCAGAGTTGTCCAATTCTCGTTTTTTGTTTAATTTAGTAAAGAGAACAAAGTAGTGTGTTCACTTACGTAGTCTCATGAAGTAAGTAATGAGATCTGTTTCGGTGGAAAGCTGGCTAATTTAGATAATGTAAAAGATAGGGATCAGCAGGACCTTTGGTGCCTGTAGACTGCGCACAAGACAATTTTGAGGATGTTTCCCTTATAGATGGGTAAAACTCGGTCTCTTCGATCTGCGGGAGGATGTCAGAAGTTTACAGAACTATGATTGACGTCGCACACTGCTGGCGTCGGTTGGTACGGGCGTCCACGTCGATGAGATGTGCAGGAGGGTACTAAATAACGGCTGTCAGATCAAGGCTGAATAAATTGCGTCGGTTCGGGTGCGTGCTACGCATGCGAAGAGAAGCTCCATTTACTTGATGTTGTGTGGAGCGGGAAATGAAACCGCTGACGGGTACTGCTGACCCTTATCGCCTTCTAGGCTACGGTCCAACACGCGACCGAATCCGTGGTGAGTCCAAGAAAGTACAGGACATAGTTCGTAACTGGCACAAGTGTAGTGCCTGCTGTCATCCATCAGCAAAGCTCCCTGTTTAATGTGTGTCTGATGCGGAGTTAGCTATGGAGTAAAACTGTATGTACCGCCAACACAACGAAGACGCCAAGAAAGCTGGCTCGCTGATGCCTCCTGCACAAAGTAGCCACATATGTGTGGAAGTGTTGTTGACAAGATGTAGGCGAACTGACACTGAATGATTGCTTAGGGATTTGGGTTTTGTATTTGGTCGCTCCATTATTTCCCCGCTTTCCATCCCTCATTAGTGAGGTAACCGTTGTTGCATCAGTACAGAGTACCGTTGCATGGGGAATAAGACCACTAGTCCATATTCGAATGACAATGAAATACGACACGATTTAAGAGCGATTTACTTTTTATAGAAACCAGATGAGAAATGCTAATTTCGTATCGTGTGGGCATCACGACGTCGTAGTGAGCTCTGCAAATACAATGGTGAATAAATCAAACAAACACGTGATGTGCACCTCATGACATGGAAAGAAGTTCGTCTGTTTGAGATCAGAATGCCGATTTTACGTTTGATTCATAACTAAGAGTACAACAACGCAACACTTTTGTTCGTTGTCCCGAGACAACCCTGAGAACGTTCACGGATTAGTCGGTCACCTGATTTAAAAAAGCGACGAAGTTCATGATGGACAGTATTTTCTGTGATTAAGTGGAATGGTGAACATACTTCGGTGTGGCCTAATGTGAGGGACAAAGAAGTGACCAGTAAAATTCGAGAAACAAGCTGCGAAATAGACCGCCCACAGGCGGAAAACTCCCTAGGTAAGGCAAATATGTATCACGAGAGCAAGAGAACAAGCATACGGAGCTCCGCTGCGCTGGTGATGAAAGAGAGCGCACAAAGAGGATCTTCAGGAAAGCCGTTAACGAGAAGCTGGTAATCGGCAATAAGCAACCAATGTGAACGATGGGTGCAAGGCTAGAATAAAGAAGATTAACCCACGCAGCGCTTACTGTAGTCCGGGAGTACATTTCTCAATACCAATATGTTCGTAGGCAGTTACCAGCTCGACAATATGTGAACAGATTGGCGCATCAGCCCTGAAAAAAGATCGCAGGATGGTTGACATGCTGACGACAGAAGTTACGCGAATATCAAGGTCTTCAGCTGCTGGCAAAGTCCAAAAGGAGAGCGTAACACAACGTATAGCGGAACATAGTCCCCACGACTCCGCGGTCTTACGTGCATTGTAAATAGACATCAAATAGTTCCTTTCAGTTCAGGATAACAATTGTGATTTGAGAAGCGAAGTGTCAAGAATAATAGCCGAAGATAAAAGAACTGGACACAAAAGAGTCATTGACGCATGGAGAGCGTCATTAAAAATCACAACATACATCAAGCCGATTCCATCACGCAATCACCTCAGTATGCATCTTATCATGTCATCAGCCGGATACAGCATCGTACACAAGTGCAAAGTACATCCGAGTTGCTGAACACAAAGAGCAACTTATATGGAAATCACTACAAACCAGCGATCAGACCGGAAGGACTTGTAGTTAGATAGCACTTGCTATATCTGTAATAAGGTAGGTATAATTGCATTGCGGAGTACTGTGTCAGGTCTTATGTGCAAGAGAACTGGGCCATAACTTTATACGGGGACTTGTTTACCTCAGATACTCACCCAGTTTAAATAAATGATTAGGAGTTAGACAAACGCGGTTCCGGAGTAGTGTCCCTGATGAAAACAGCTGCCGACTTCACGCTGCCTTACGGTCGAGGTTTCGAAGCAAAGGTTTCTGTTATGCGTAGAGGAAATCGTAAATCGTAGAACGTAGCTACTATCTGTGGTATAGTCGCTCCTCAACAGGCTGTCGGTTTAAAGTGTGCAAGATGTATTATTGTTACAGGATTGCTGGATAAGCGACGGTGTATCCAGCAAGTTTGTCGTAATTCAGAGAAAAAAACTGCAGTCGCACACCGGGCAAAGTTGGAGCTGGTAGCAAGCTTTCTTCTTAGTTTGCTGTTACCAACGGCCTCAGTCTTCCTCTTCCACTTTACCACCGAAGATATTCTCCACTGTGCAATGGGGTCGTGATTCTTCCCGGGAACACAGTCGTGGACTTGAATAATTATGATGACAGGATGATGACCATACAATAACACGTTCAGCCGGTTAGCGATACAGGCATCTAAAGCTGAAGGTTTACTTTGCGGTTGTCGAGTGCCTGTGCCTGCGCTCACTAATGCACATGATGGTCTGGAGCAAGTTAACAGGTTCACATATCTTGAGAGTTGCACCAGGCCTGGTGGTGATGTTAAACGAAGTTTATCAAGGTAGTGCTATATCTTGATTTACATTCATTAACCTGGGGCACTTATGGAGTCGTGCGAGGTCAGTCACAAACTCAAGATGTACAACGACACCGTCCGTGTGGTCATATTGTATCGCGCTTAGATTTGACCGGTTCGCTGAGATTTGAAACAACTGTCAGCTTCAGACAACTGCCGCTTTCGAACGACAACTGCTCGTGTGTGGTGGCAGCCTAGTGCTCGGAGGGCACAGTACTTGCCTCCCCAGTAGTGATCTCCAACACAGTCTGTGTAGGCTCGACTACGTATTACGGACGCCAACCAACCACTTGTCTCATCGCGCATAATTTGCCTTTTCTGGATGCGAGTGAAAAAAGTACCGCGGCAAGCAACTGATGGCTTGGAAAAGGAACTTTAAGAATGTTACCACATGTCTAGGGTCATATGGGTCTGTCCGTCTCTTCGTTTGAGGACCACGCCATGCGGACTCCAGTCTTAAAGGTGATCACAAATTATAAAATTGTCGGCATCAGTGCTGCTCTACCATCGCTTATATCTAACCGTCAATTGAAAGCAAAAAAGAAACAATATAACAAAGCGACATGCGCGAAACATTACATAAAAACCGATTCACTTTTGGTAATGGTTATTTCTTTTTGCTGAACAACATCGTCTCCCTTAATTACAGCCATGGTTCTGATGCGCATGTTCATACTCGTGGATACACATAACATTTACGACGATGAGTTATCGGCGGAGTAAGATGAGTCTCGACGAGAGACAGACGATGCCGTAAGGAGGGTGTCGCATGGTAGAGCGGCGTTTTGGCGGTATATTCGCACAATGATGGTGAATGTTTGCTCGTGAAATTTAAGTTATACAACAAGTTGCATGCTTGCTAATCTATGGGATTATCATACGTTGTTACCGATTATGACTGTGAGGCAGCGATAGAAAACCTAGTGTGCGCCGTTGATGATGACAGCCCGCACTTTCTGATAAGCTGAGCTCGTACGTCGTCCCTAGAACAATTGAGTCCTTGGAAAGCCACATTAGATAAACCCGTTTACGAAGCTGCGCGAAGGAGAGTCGACCACTAAGTTTGAGACGCCCACAAAGGTAAGAAAATGGACCGAGTGGTTATTTATTAAACGTGCGGAAAGGTAGTGTGCCAACCCAACCCGGTGATAAACCAAGATTTAACCCAGTGCAAAGTCATTCGGTAACCTCACATGATGGCGATGCACGTTACATCTGGTGATAGTTTTATGTAATAAAAGTAATGACCACGCAAGGTACGAAAAACTGCAGGTTACTGATGATAAGTTTTAAAAATATGAAACTGAGAACATTTCCGTAATGTCCGCAACAACAATGGGCACAACAAGGTGAACCCCATCCAGATATTAAAAACGCTATAATCTGTTGCCTATATGCCACGACAAGACGATAAGCAGTGCACCGGAAAGTTATGACGGAACGTACGAATGAGAAAATTGGAGGGGCTATCCATCTGGGGCTGCCTTACTACAGTTAATTCTAACAGCGATTCCCACTTAGGCTCTCTCCTTGGGCATTCAGTATTGTTTTGGACGATGCCGTTTGGACTGCAAAGTTCCTGTGTTCAAATACTAGATTTAGTTTACGTACGTAGACTTAATCGCGCATAATCGAATGCATTATTTGACGCCTTCACTTGGTAAAGTAAATCTAAAATGTGCAACAAAATGGCAATTGGCGATTCCACGTAACCGGTGAAGAATTCGATTGAGCGCCCTACTTCTCTTTGTATGGCTTGTAGCCTGGCGGTGTACTTGCTGTAGACTAAGCCGGAAAATTGCCGCGAGAAGGTTGCGTGTTTACAGGAAAACCAACGCCTAGCCATCCGACTGGGAAAGATGGCAAGCATACAAGTGGAAATCCGTCATCAGTGATTATCGCAGGTCACCGCGGATGGAGAAGATAAATGAAAGAAAGCAAAGAAGTTGCCACCTACTTCAGTAAATAAACAAAAAGCCTAAAAACAAAAAAAGCAAGGATAGAAACAGCATAATAAGACAATGAAGATAGAAAAGCTGAGCGAACAGGGTTAAACTGTCTCCTGTAACTAGAAAGCGACTGTTAGTTGGGCGAGAAGCTGATTGCTAACGCGCGCGTGTTTGTCACAAATCGTGCTTGGGAATGAGCCTGAGAGCGTGTTGCCAGGGCCCATCCGAAAGCTGATGAAATCGCGCGTCAGACATCACGTGCGTTGTCATGCACCGGGTAGACGGACGAAGACTGACGTGCACGAGCAAAACGGTGCACTGGTCAGACGGAGCGGACAAGCAAGTGTGGAGCGTGGGCTTACAGCCAAATCCACCAGGTGATGTTCAGAGGATTGGTGAGACTGACATATAAATATGAGTGTTCTCGGTCCTAATACAACTCTGGTCTGCTGAGTATTCTTCTCTCTTCCTGTCGGGTTTGTCAAGGCGTCAAAAGGAGCAGGCGTAAGGGCGCAGATCTACCTGCAGGCGTGAATCAACCGGTCGATTGCGGGTACAGCGTTATAACAGACTGGAACCCCGTGGTTCGCATGCCAGTGACAATTCATCGTCTCCATCGATCGTACCTGAGTCCGCTGCCTGCAAGCATTTTGTGATTCGGCGAAACGTTTACCGAATGACTGTATTCGGTAAACTTTTCGCTCTCAGTGAAGGCAGAATAGGCGCATGAAGGCTCAGTTTTCGATGAAATGGATGATCGTTTGAGACACTGTGGTAAATGTGGTGAAAGCGATCGCAATGGGACAAGTAGGGTGTTCAATGGGAAGAACGCTTGCACAGGTGTAACATATGGTGCTAGTGTTTGTTGATCATACAAAGTAACATTAAAATATTCAACCCTCAGCTTACCTGGATAATTTGCTCTTTATACTTGGTATCGAAAAATCGACAGTAATAAAAATGCCGCCCGGGGGAACCGCGCCACCCCAGCATCGCTTTGCTACGCCAGTGACTGTATCAAAAATGTGCAACGTGGACTGTGGTTGACGGTTTTGCCAGGTACACTTCCCCATGCGTATCCGGTGTAATATGTTCGCTTTCCCCCCAATTGGCATACGCCGCCGTACACACTACAGCGATCGAGTTACAAACAAGGCTGGTCCGTTTACTGCGATCCAATAATGGTGTGATGGTCAGAATACGAATTGCAGTAGAAGATCGATCGTGCTATATCCCAGCCGACGTCCCCCATGGCTCAGTCGCTAGTTGGCATCTGCCTCTAGCGGTCATAGGTTCGATCCCCAGTAGGGGACCGAGAGAATGCGCACCACTGACGAGCCCCAATAGGGCGAAACGCGGCTGATGCTTGGCCGGACTAGGCTGCTATATAGCTTGTGAGCAGCTGGGACGAAAACATTACAATTAAAATCCTCCTACTCATTAGTAATATAGAACACGAATGGACAAAAGGAAACCTCACCGGATTCCCAACCTGATCGCTTCCGGGGTCGCAATCAACATACATAGGCTGGTGTCAACATCAATTTTCCACTGGTCACTGGACCAAAATACCAAACACCATGTGCATATAAAGGAGAATTCGGTCAATCGGTTTAAATGGAAAGCGGGTCTACCGGGACGTCGGTGTCCTAGCCTAGACATCACAAGTCATATATAGACAGACACTCGCATATTGGGGACAAAATTAAACAAACGATGCGGATAGGGTCAGCAATAATGGAAAACAACTCATGCAGTGGATGAGAGCGAATTAAAGTGACCAATCAACCAACGAAGAATAAGAGTAGAGCGAGGGCGACAACCACAACAGTACCGCATGCACGACTCACCAGGAATGCTCGATATTGAAGCCAAACTACAAAAAAGGCAGAACACAATTGAGACAATGTAGTGTCACTGTTAGGCGAACATAATAGTTGCATAGAAAGCAGCTAATGCTGAAAAGTAGTAGCATGTGGTAAACGTACTGCAACCCACTGACAGAATAAGGGACATATACAGCGGAGCGGAAAACCCATTTTGCGGAGGACACGGAGGACATGCATCCCAGTTCAGAGGGAAAAAGGATGGATATGGAATCGATGATCAATTGCAGCACTGCATAGTGGACGACTGAATTCCTGCACCCCCAAAACTCTGTATAATGCTCAGGTCTCATAACGAGAACTGCTCCACGTTTTGTTATGGAATACAATGTTAGTACACAAGTAACAAATGGTTGGCGGCATCCGGTTTCGGATTTGCCTGTCACTGTGGCAAGCCACAGGACGCCTGCGCCTACAGAGGGACCATAGATGGCTTGCGCTGCACCACCCACAGCTCCAACCACATACCCCATATCCAGTGTAAACCCGAAGGAATAAGACCGGGAGGCATGCGGATGGGAACCACGTTTCATCAACGGAGCCGGCCCACACTCCTTCACAGGCAAACACAAGCACGCTGTATTTGGGGAATCAAGCGCACCCAAGGCGGTGGCTGGACCGTAGTCCGCTCCACACTGAGTGCATGGAACCGCTCTTTGAGCCTAGCACGGCCACAAGAACCGTGCACCCCGTCCCCTCCAGCAACGACCAACTGTCTCCTGGAGCCAGTATGAACGATGTAGTGGGTAATAGACAGGTAGGCACCTTGTCAACATACACATCAAGCGCAACCATACCAGGGATATCAAACAACAGCCATTCACTTTAAACGACAAGCTGAAATAAAATAAATCCAATAATGCATACAGATACGGTGGCATAACTCTTCGCTAAATTACCATATGAAGTAAGTTGGTTAGCAACAAATCCGTGATAAGTAAGAAATGTCCACAAGTTACTTAAAATGTTACAAACGCAACAAAATTACCGAAGCTAAGCGCAATTAGTGTAAGCAACGTGGCCAGTTAATAGAACTTTATTCAGGGAGGCAGAACAAACCAAATAAAGCGGAATGAAATTTATCCAGCTTAAAAGACCTAGTTTAAGTGTAAGTTGGTTTAGCCCAACTGCGGTGAAGAAGCATCAAGAATGCAACATCAGCCTCAGCATGGGGCACACAATGCATACATAATAACGGGTATATTCCTTAAAGGTGCGAGACACAGTTCAACTGATTGGTCAGGTCATTATGTACAACGGCAGCCCGTAGCCTAAAGCTCGTCTCGTAATTTGACGGCGCGATTTAGATCTTGCGTAGAGGCAGGGCGACCCTCGCAGTATCCTTAGCCCACATGCGACCGGTGGTGGTTGCGCGGTAGCGAAGCGTCGGTACTGCGTACCGGTGTACTGCTGGCCTTTTTTACGTAAACTGGATCGCCTGGGACGGATAATATTTCTTCCTTTTCGTTCAGATTAGTTACTAAACTATTTTGCGGGGCTGATTGATCGGTTGCATGATTCAAATAGATGGAGAGGTTGCTAATAATAATAAGTGGAGAGAAATCTAAATGTTGTAGTAAAGTAATACGGATAATCATGGAGTCGTCTCCAGGGGACCTGCTTCCATGCAGGCTAATCCTTCGAAAGGCCTTACTCGCACATCCACGTCTGTTCTGACAGTGTGCTTGTGTGGCTATAAAGCAGGTTAGCCATCCCCAACGGTAATCAACTGTACTATTTTTCAGTATATATATATATATATATATATATATATATATATCCATGGCAACGAGACTGGATCTTAACGTGGTGCGATGGTTTGTGTACCCCTGTGACCCATTGAGCTACGCTGGGTGGCACTTTCAAGTGCCTTCAGAGCCACTCATACCAGACAGGTCAATGGTTAGGGTCAGACTAACTCAGTCTCACAATCGCCCCGCTGCCTTGCGGGCAGGCTATTTAGCCAAAGGCTCGGGGTGGAGTCCCCTAAGACAACTCCCTACTTCGGCTTGGGCAACCGGGTAGTATCACGCCCACTGACAAAACCATGGACTGTTCAACTGCAATATCGCTCTCAGCTGCTTTTGCTCCTGCTAGTCACTCACCTTCACACGCCACCTGTTCATTTGTTACCAATCAGTATTATCCGTTACCAAATGATTCTTGTTTCCATGATTCTACTCCGGATGGTTTCGTCGACACCCAGAGAGCTCGCCCAGTCGCACTCCTTCGGCCTCGGTCTTCGTTCCGTCTGGCATGCTTCAATGTACGTACACTCATGCAGATCGGGCAGCAAGCTGGTCTTGCGCGCACCCTGGAATCCCTCGCCATCGATGTTTGCTGTCTTTCCGAAACGCGCTTACAAGATCCCAGTACTGTGATTGAGTTGAGATCTCCCACCGACCACGGAGCCATATTTCACCTACGTCTATCTGGTGACGCAGAAGCAGCTGCGGCAGGCTTGGCTGGCGTTGGTGTAGCGCTAAGTAGCAAAGCCGAGGCAGCACTGCTGGACTGGTTCCCGATTAATAGCCGACTGTGTGCAGTTCGGCTTCGGGATCATGCAAGATAAACCGATGTCGTGAGGAGAGACGCAACTTGTTTGTGATCTCAGCTTACGCTCCAACTGACTGCAGTTCCGACTCCGTCAAGGACGATTTCTACCGTGAACTTCATCAGCTCTTGAGCAGAGCCTGCAAATCCGACATTGTTGTCCTTGCTGGGGATCTCAACGCACGGGTCGGTCGTCTGCTGGCATGCGAAAGTCACCTCGGTGGTCACCATGCGCTCGATGAGAGCCGCTCAGATAATGGAGAGAGACTTCTCACACTGTGCGAAGATAATCATCTTTTTCTCTCGAGCACCAACTTTCGGCATTCGAGGAGACGTTCCGCTACTTGGCGACCCCCTTCTGCGTCTCAATCATGGTCTCAGATTGATCATATCGCAATCAGTTTCAGATGGAGGGGTAGTGTAAAGGATTGCAGATCCATCTGGTCCACTTTTCTTGACTCAGACCATGCTCTTGTCTGTGCGAACATCTGCATGAGTTTCGGAGGGTCCCCGAAAATGAAGCGCTGTAAGATAGACACAAATAAACTATCTACTGTTTCGGTTCAGCAGAGCTATCAAGCTTCCCTGGCTGGTGCACTCGGCTGCGACCCACCGCAAGATATTGATGAACACTGGACGTGCATGCAGAGGACCATGATCTCTTCCGGACAGCAAGTCTGTGGTCTTACTCAGCACCCTATGAAGGCCTGGATCTCCACGCGCTCTTTGGATTTATTTGACCGCCGCAGGAATATCCCAGCGGAGTCTAATCATGATGAAGTGCGCCGTTCTGTCAGTCGGCAGCTCAAACAAAGCCTACGCAGTGACCGTGAAGCCTGGTGGTCCCAGCGTGCTTCGGAAATGGAGGCCGCTGCCCTCTCTGGCAATACTCGCAAGCTCTTCCAGCTCATTCGATCCACTGGCCACAGAAAGCCTGGTGTCAGTGAGACTATATGCGAAGCGGATGGTTCGCCGATTGCCAACTTACAGAGACGCTTGGACCGATGGGCCGAACATTTTCATTCCCAGTTCAATTGGCCCTCACCGTCCACTTATATCCCCTGCGAACCCAGCTGCCCGCCCTGGGTCGTCACACTTGATCCACCCAGCGAAGCGGAAGTTTGTCTTGCGATTCGACACCTAAGACGATTCAAGGCTGCCGGCTCAGACGGACTTCCTCCGGAGCTGTTCAAATATGGAGGCTCAGTTATCATTAGCCAGCTAACCTCATTGTTCTCCAAAATCTGGCATGAAGAAAAGGTGCCTTCTTCCTGGGGCGAGTCAGTTATTGTCCCGGTTTTTAAGAAGGGTGCTCGCACTTCGTGTACCAATCACCGGGGGATTAGTCTCATTTCGGTTGCCTCCAAGCTATTGGCATCCATTCTACTCCGTAGACTATCTCCCATTCGCGAATCGCAGTACCGGGAAGAACAAGCTGGCTTCCGACCTGGCCGCGGGTGTGTGGATCAGATATTCACACTCCGTCAAATCCTGGAACACCGCCACCTTTACCAGAGGCCTACCATCGTTGCATTCCTGGACATCCGTGCCGCATTCGACTCGGTTGATCGACCTGCACTATGGCGTTGTTTGCTAAGGAACGGTGTCCCAGAAAAGTACACTGCCATCCTACGCGCACTGTATTTCCACATCTCTGGCAGAGTGAGGGTGTATGGCAGGCTTTCGTCGTCCTTCGCTGTCAATAGCGGTGTACGACAAGGCTGCCCTATGTCCCCGTTCCTCTTCAATTTTGCGATTGAAGACATCCTGTCGAGAGCTCTAGACGGTTGCCAAAATTTTGGTATACAGCTATTACCGGGCAAGCGAGCAACCGACTTAGATTATGCCGATGATATCCCTTACTTGGTGAGGACTCACAGAGCATGCAAACCATTCTAGACCGCTTGGCGATTGAGGCATCTAGGTACGGAATGTGCTTTGCCCCGTCAAAGTGTAAAGTGCTGCTTCAGGATTGGCACTCAACTGTTCCCGTGCTCAATATTGAAGGTACACAGCTTGAACAAGTGGATAGCTTTGTCTACCTTGGCAGCTGTGTGTCTGCTGGTGGTACCATTAGAATGGAAGTTTCTCTTCGCATCGCCAAAGCTCGGTCGGCGTTTGTCAACCTGCAGCACTTGTGGCGTCGCCGGGATATCTCCCTCTTGGTAAAGGGTCGTGTTTACAATGCCACCGTTCGGGCGGTGTTGCTATATGGAAGCGAGTCATGGCCAGTTCGCTAGACGATATGCGCCGGCTCTCGGCCTTCGACAACGGGTGCTTGAGGAGGATTGCTCGTGTGTGGTGGCAACAACACATTTGCAACAGTGAAGTCAGACGTCATGTCTTAGGGAATGCGAGTATTCCCTTCAACAAGCTGGTTTTGTTGCGCCAGTTAAGATGGCTCGGTCATGTCCTGCGTATGTCAGCTGAGCGTTTACCCTATCGCGCTCTGTTTGTTCGTGCAGGACTCAACTGGAAGAGACCAGGTGGTGGTCCACCATCCACCTGGCGACAGCAAACGAAATCGTAGAATTCACGTCTTGCCACCATTGGATCCACACGTCTGCCTGGTTAGGGACCAAAGGACGAGGAGTGCCGATGGTTGGAAACAATTCAGGATATGGCATGTAATCGAAACCAGTGGAGCATCGGTGTATATAGCTGCCTAGATTTGTATACTTAATTCTTAACGACAAAAAGATCAAAAATGGTGCGTGCAAAATAACAAAAAATTGCACCGTTGTTCTTTATATTGCATCACAATAGCTGAAATGTGTAGTTCAACGTACGTTTACGTGTCATTACGCGGATTTACATATATATATATATATATATATATATATATATATATATATATATATATATATATATATAACGCTATATATAAGGCTATTGAGCCAAAGGCTACGGGTGGAGTACCTCAAGCAAACCACCAAAGCACAACGACCACCTCGCGTGCGATTGCCCACCAATACAATCGTATGCCTGCGCGTAAAGCACTCAGCATCGGATGCTGGAACGTGCTCACACTACTGGACCGGAACTCCAGCGAGCGCCAGGGGCGACGCACTGCACTAGTCGCGATGGCGCTGGCGCGCTACAACAGCGATATTGCGGCGCTCAGTGAAACTCGACTCGCTGAGCAAGGTAAGTTACATGAAGCAGGTGCTGGCTACACATTCTACTGGGTGGGCAACGCCGCCTCAGCACCACGTAAACATGGGGTCGGATTTGCAATATCCGATCGCCTCCATAGCCAGCTGGTGAGTGACCAGGCATCAGCGCACGACTGATGACTGTTCGCCTACGACTCGGAAGAGATAAGTTTGCTACTTTTATAAGCACGTACGATCCGACCCTGTGTTATCCTGCTGACACGTGTGAGCATTTCTGTACTCAGCTATCCTCCGTGATACGGCCTGTGCCGAGGAGCGACCGACTATTTCTGCTGGGTGATTTCAACGCGCGCGTTGGGCGTGATGAATCGATGTGGACAGGTGTTATCGGTCGCATGGCATTGGTTCAGCGAATGCAAACAGTGACAGGCTGCTCTCACTGTGTACCACTCACGACCTGACGATCAGGAACACTCGGATTGCACTGACTTCGAGTGATATAGCAACTTGGACGCACCCACGGAGTGGTCACGCTCACCTGCTCGACTATGTCATCGTACGTCAGCGTGATATGCGTGAAGTGCGCATGACACGTGTACTGCGTGGAGCTGAGTGTGGCGCTGAGCACAAATTGGTGCGGACCAAACTGTACATATATGTTCGTAAATCTATGTATTGCACTCCCGCCGTGAATCGGCGTAAATTTAACATTCTATCCATCGGTACTGTGGCGAAACGCATGGAGCTGGAGAAGCCTATGGCTGTACGCCTGTGTGATGTGGACTGCATAGCCGCAGTGAGTGAACTGTGGCACCATATTCGGCGACCAGATGACAGCTGCTGCCGAGGAGACCAGCGGGCGCCCAAACTGTAAGCGGCCTGATTGGTTTGAGGAGAACAGTGCCGCGATTGCCACATTAGTGTGTGAGAATAATGCAACATTTGCTGCACATGTCGCGGATCTCAGTGACATGGGGAAGACGGCCACTGACTCGAGAGCCCGTCGCAATAAAAATGCATGATGGATTGAGAAGTAGACGGAATACTACGCCGAACGCCGCCAACACAAGGAATTCTTTGACACCCTGAAGGCGGTGTATGGACCGAGATTGGAGCCGCTGAGGAGGCTGATCGATGATAGCTCAGGCACAACCTGCACACGGACTGCAGATCTCATAAAAACACTATCGCTCTCTCTTGAACAAGTGTTCAGAGATCGAATGGCCTAGTTGGAACGGCCTCAAACAGCACAATGGGAAGGCGCGCCTTGCGGACTCGCCATCACTGGATGAGACGCAGACAGCACGTGCTCAGCTGCAAAACGGCAAATGTGCCGGAGCCGACGGGATCCCACCTGAAGTATTGAAACAAGGCGGACTCGCGTTGATGACTGCGCTGCACCACTTGATGCAACGTGTATGGATTGAGAAGGAGGTGCACCCTGATCTGAAGGATGCCCTTGTGCTACCCCTGTACAAGGACAGAAGAAAGCAAGCAATGTTGCACGAATTATCGTGGCATCAACTTGCTGAGTTGTGTAGGCAAGGTGATGGCCGAATCCTGCTCAATCGCCTCGTCAGTCAGGTTATGGAACCTAAAGTGGAAGAAGAGCATTGTCGGTTCAGTTCGGGTCGCAGTACCATAGACATGGTGTTTGCGGCTCGTCAGTTGCAAGAGAAGTGCAGAGAACGACACCAACCATTGTACTCGCTTTTTGTTGATTTCACCAAGTCATTTAATATGGTGAACCGCGAGGCATTGTAGCTGGTGTTTGGTAAGTTTGGTTACCCGCGTAAGTTTGTAAGTTTAATTGAATGTCTGCACAGTGGTAAGCGAGCGTGGGTGCAGCTGAGTGGAGAGACCTCGGATGACTTTGTAGTAATCTCTGGCGTGAAGTAAGCTTGTGCCTTAGCTCCTGATCTCTTTAGTATGTATCTTTATATAAGGATGTCTTATGCTTTTGATGCCGCGTGTGCTTACGGTGTTCGTGTGGAGCACCGTATTGATGGCGGATTGCTGAACATCCGTTGTTTCGGTGCGAGAACTCTAGTCCGTGAGACAACTATCCGTATGTTGCTGTTTGCTGACGACTTTGCGTTGCTTTCCCACAACGCGGATGAGTTGCAGCACATGACTAGTGCTCTGGCTTCGACAGCGGCCAAATTCGGACTCACCATCAACACAAGAAAAACTGTCTGTCTCTTTCAGCCTTCACCTGAGGTGCAATCTTCAATATTGCCGCGAATCGGCATTGGTGCTGAAGGATTGGAAACCACCTCCCGCTTTTGCTACCTTTGGAGAGTGAGGTCGACTGACCAGCAGCTACACAATGAGCTGCGTATCCGCATCTTGAAGGCAGCGGCGGAATTCGAGAAGTGGAACTACCATCAGCATACCATTGGCACGAAGATGATGGTGTACAGAGCCATGGTGCTGTCCGTTCTTCTATATGGCAGTGAAATGTGGACGATGTACCGGCGGGATGTGCGATATCTCGAGCGGTTCCATCAGCAGTGTTTACGACGGATTTTGCGCATCGCCTGGGGCGACAGAGTTGGTGATACGGAAGTGTTGCGACAAAGTGGGATGTATGCAGTGGACTGCATAAGTTTGCTGAGACGCCTGAGGTGGCTCATTCGTGTGTGGAGAATCAATTCGACGCGGATACCGAAACAACTATCATATGGTCAGCTGAGCATTGGGAAGCGGCATGTGGGGAAACCAAAGTTACGTTACTAGGACATGATCAAAGTGAGCCTTTCACGTTCTGATCTTGATTGCAGGTCATGAGAATCGAAGGCGGTTGCTCGGCGTGCATGGTGCGATCTGATCACTAATGCAGTTACCAAGGTGCAGGAGAAAGCCATCGTGTATACAAAGAAAAAGCGGCAATTGCGGAAGCGACAGGCGCCGATGAGTTGTACTCCATCGACAGCGAGCGCACGGTGTTGTAGCACATGCGGTCGCGAGTGCCTGCGTCAAGCAGGCCTAGTGAGCAATGAAGGACGCCACTCGGGGCCACCACCGAAGCGACGACGGGTCCTGCAGAGAATGTAGGCAGAACCGGCGCAGCGTTTGTATGTACGCTGCATTCGCTTTACTAACCGCGTGCTTGTATGCTTAGTCTGTTTATTTCAGGTGGTGGGTTGGATGTATTGTCCTAATGTTTTGCTATCTCATATTTATGTCTACCTGAACTACCTTACATAAACTTGCACACGTCGCTTAAGTTACTTGTAGTTAACTTCGATAACATTTGCGTGTTTGTCGCATTTTCTTAAAATAGATTTTCTGACGTATTGAACCTTTGCGGATATTTCGTAAGCAAATTATTTTATACGCTCATTTAGTGTAGAGTTGTCACCGTTTCCTTATGTATTATCCGCTTTACTTAATTTGCTATCGTTGTTACAAGTGATTGGCTGTTGCTTGATATCGCCGGTGTGACTGCGCTTGATGTGCATGTTGACAAGGTGCCTACCTGTCAATTATCCAATACCTCGTAAATACTGACTCCATGAGACAGTTGCTCGTTGCTGGAGGGGACAGGGTGCACGGTCCTTGTGGTCGTGCTAGGCTCGAAGAGTGGTTCCATGCACTCAGTGTGGAGCGGACTACGGTCCAGCCACCGCCTTGTGTGCGATTGATTCCCCAAATACAGCGAGCTTGTGTTTGCCTGTGAAGGAGTGGGGGCCGGCTCCCTTGATGAAACGTGGTTCCCATTCACATGCCTCCTGATCTTATTCCTTCGGGTTTACATTGGATATGGGGGTGTGTGGATGGAGCTGTGTGTGGTGCAGCGCAAACTATTCATTGCCCTTCTGTAGGCGCAGGCGTCCTGTGGCTGGCCACAGTGACAGGCAAATCCAAACCGGTTGCCGCTAATCATGTGTTTGAGTGAGTAAGCATGTTGAATGTTGTGATTGTATTAGGTGAATTGACCAACATAGTTGGCAGTTATCTCGAAAGAGGACGGCAACGGAGGTCAGCAAAGCGTATGAACAAGTGCAGTGCACAAGCAGACATGAGCTTTTATTCTTATATGTAACTGCTAAAGACAAAAAATATCGGAGAACTTACTGTTCCATCAGGAAGAACAGCCAAAGTAAAGGATTTGTCGAACCAACGGTTGTAACAGTTTCCCGTGAGGAACGTTTTACCTAAGTAAGATAAGTCAGCGCTATTATCAAAATCCAGTTCACGTTGTTCATCGTCGAATGCGAGGAAAAATGCTGCCTAAAAGGAAATGTGGAATGGCACAAGTAATGGTGAAATAAACAATGAAGAACGAATGTTTCATAAGATAGATAACGTACGTTCGTCTACTACAAATGGATGAAATATGCATAGTCTCCAAAATGGCCGGAAAAATAGTGCGTCTCCAAAATTGGTTGGATAAAAAGTAACAAGAGAAATACATCCTAGTAGACGCAGAGCTCGGCCAAATCGTGAAGATCCTAACTGCGGATGACATTTTTCTCAGTGCAACAAGCAAAATGAAGCGAGTTTGCCTGTCATGAAACGCCGGAAAGAAGTGGTTTAATTGAGTACTAGAGCGAGTCTCGAAACCCACGGTCCGGCTGTGTAGGTGGACGACAGGATAGCACATCAACGAACGGTCAGTATCAGTTAAATCGACGTAATGATAAATAAAAAGGTTCCTCCGAGCGACGAGGCGGGGACAAACTAGTCATATGTAAATGCTTGCGTGGGACGTGACAAAGCTCTGGATTTAAAGGATCATTAGAAGCAATTATTGGAAACGAGGCTAACAATACCGCCATATAAGTGTGAAAACGCATCAATGTTTAGAGACTGAAGGTATGTTTGCAGGTGGACTATACACCTGATTCTACACGATTTGTCTTTGCAATATTGGGCCAAGTAAAACAGATACGATATTACATCACAGCAGACAAACACAGAGGACAAGGCAGGCTACCGAACGAAAGGTATGAGGTAAAAACAGCAGGACTTCAAAGCAGCGAATAGAATAAATTTGCTGAGTAAAAATTGGAACTACACAATTGTATTTAGAAACAGGCAAATATAGTGGACAAGCAAACAGGTGATGCTACTAAGTAAAGTTCAAGCTACACTGTTTTAAACAGCGCTTGCATCTAATCAAATAATCAAAATACTGTAATTATGCTGCTTACGAGGGCCAAAACGTCTCGTTTGAAAACAAACAGGAACGGGGCGAAGGTGGTGTGATCGCTAAAGTTAGCGAGTCGTTTGAGCTACTTATACATTACGAGTAGTATATTCTTTACAGAGATGGAACGGAGAAGGGCAGTGGATGACAGCAGCGCAGTGGCAGGAAAATACATCGAGTAGACCATTGCGTAGTGTCCCTCACACTACTCCCTCAAAATCTAATCTTCATGAAGTAATAAAAATGAAAAGCTACAAATGGGTGAAAGACTACGTGCTAATTCAGAGCAGCCGTTATATGTCGGAGCTACCATATAATAAGCAGGCGAGATCATCGGGTTGCACCTTCCCATAGACGCAATGTGCAGAGCATTTTACATATACCGAGTGTTTTGGTAACGTGGTCCGGAGCTGGGAGCGGTTGCACTCAGGTGCTGAGGTACAAACGGTACGCTAAATTGCTAACTGTCCAATGGCATAAATTGCTTTGCCGGCAGGAGTGAGATGGGACACAGATGCCACATGTGTGCCTACGGTCTCAGAGCACACAATATGAGAAGTGAAGGTCAGCCACACACCACAGTCGCAATGAATGCGTCATGCCTCGACAGCATGGCAAGACGTAAGGAACGCACGCCGTTCAGCTGTGAGAACTGGACGTGAGCCGGACACCACATAGCCGCACTGAACGTGTCATGCCTCGATCGATCGGTAGTCGGTCTTCATGCAGGTGAAAAGCCAGCGAAAGGGTTTCTTGCGAGTGGTTAGTGGGGCGCTGTGCTAGCAATTGAGAAAAACAGCCTGGTCGTATGTGATGACCGGTCGATGGGCGCCGTATTGCTATCGCCACAAACGCTGTTATCGCCTCATGGCTGGCTTCCAACAAACCCGTAAGCTTTAATTAGGCTGCTTTAACTGCTAAAGTGAATCATACTGCCAGGAGCACATTGTAAGGTTACAGTGTTGTTCGCTTTACTATTTCGATCGCGTGCGTTTTACAGCTGAAAATTCACCATGGGTTCATAAAAATGAATTCTTGACAACGTTCTTAGATTTCAGTCTGCCGCGACGCAATGATGGCACCATTAGGCAGCATACCAATTTAGCCATGAATGCAACTATTGCCCTCACAGTCAGACAATTGCTAGTTGTACAAATTTATCAGGCCTTCGATGGTGTTTCTCGTGTACAATGGAGAATATACATTTATTCACAAGTTCAGCTATCTTTATTTTTAGTATTCCCGTGCGTTTACTAGAATGCGAAACTCCTATAACGAAGTCTTGTCCAACTGCCGCATACAGCTTGGACATCGAGTATTCACGCCCAACACCCAGGTTAGAGTTGGCATAGTCGCCGCAGGGTAACAAGAAAAATGAAGATGCAAGGCAAACAGGGAGTTTAAGGTAACAAGATTTCCGCGGCATATAGTTGTGACCGTTGCTGTCAAACATCCTTCGCTACGGAGGAATTGTCTGACACAATGAATTACTCCAGTAAATCTGTTTGTAGTGTGATGTATCTTATTAGCCTGCTACAGTCCATCTCGACCATCTGACGCATGAGTTCGTTCGCATGCGCGAACAAATGCGTGCTATGGAGTTGGGGGTAGGCTCCTGGATCGCTGCTTGGTCAGTGACAGGATAGCTGCCATCAGTCCTATGCCTCTGCCAATGGACTCTGTGGATGAGGTCCTTACGCTGAACATGCGGCTAGAGAAACGCGAAGACATCGAGAAATTAGTAAGGACAGAATTCATGTATGATGTTTTAGACGGCCTATTTCAGGCAACTGGGCGGAAATTCCTTGGCGGAGTTCGTCAGGAACTTACTGTGAGCAGTCACGACGAACGCCTTTACAAGGAAAATGAACTGGCGAGGAGTGCACGCAAGCAACGAATTCCAAGTACGCCCGTGGCCCGAGTTATTATCGGTAAGCTGTGATATTGCATAAAACATCAGTTTCAGACGCTGTAATGCGGAAAAGTTGCGCCGAATGCACTGGTAGTATCATCGCCGATAAGATACGCCGTTGGACACAGCGAATCAAAGAGTGAGAGGATTACAAACCAAACTCGCCTATCACACCCGGGCCCAGTACAAAAGGCTGTAGTAGTGTTTTTATTACAAGTTCCTTAACCTTCCGGTATTCTTGTATAAAACGTTGTGGGGTATATTGCTGCGTTTAACAGCGACGTAAAACAGCTGCTTGCGTGCATGTGGATTTGGTACGACGAATGCAGATAGCCCCCTAGTTGGGTCAATGTCCAACTTTTACATCCCTCACGAACGTGTTCGTGCTACAGCGGAGTGCAATGCACATTGAAGGATTACGGGGTTGCAGTGTGATAGTGGAGTATGTGGTTCCTGAGCTCGATACTTTTATATGTGGTAATAATTTATGGCGCCTAGGAGTGTGTGCACGTGTGCACCCTTGCAGGGATCGTGGTATTACATTAAAAGTGACGGCAATAGTTAACCATGAATTAGGGAACGCTTCTGCCGTTTTTTGCAGAGCGCCCGAATTTAGTCTGGGTTGAGTCGAAATTCGGGCGCTCAGTATAATATGGTAGCCGCAACCACGCACTTATGTGTAACTATTTTCCATTACTTTTAACGTGCTATTACGACCACTGAATGGTTGTGCATGAACAACCTCTTACAAACCATTTGGGACTGAATTCGGGCGCTCAGAAAAAAATATCGCTGCAGCATCCCCCATCCGCGGATAACAATTTTCCTTTATTTGAAACAAATTTGGACTACCACGAGAGGTGTGCATACGAACGCATTCTTCGACGCTCTAAATTGCTCTAATATACAGAAAAATGCGGTTCTTTCCGCGCGCCAGAATTTAGATGCAACCCAGAATAAATTTGAGCGCACAGCAAAAAAACGGCAGCAGCGTTCCCTAATTTATGGTCAACTAATTTCCATCGCTTTTAATGCAATTCCACGATCCCTACAGGGGTGCGCACGTACACACTACTAGAGGCCCTAAATTATTACCACGTATAAACGTATGGACCTCAGGAACCACATATTCCACTATCACACTGCAACCTCCTAATCCTTCAACGTGCATTACACATTCTCCGCTGTAGCACGAACACGTTCGTGAGGGATGTAAAAGTTGGACATTGACCCAACTGTGGGGCTATCTGCATTCGTCGTACCAAATCCACACGCACGCAAGCAGCTGTTTTACGTCGCTGTTAAATGAAGTAACGGTGTTCCGATGTCCTGGTTCTGGATTCATTGCTCGACTGTGAGCAATCGTCCACTGCTTTCTTCGGCAAGTTGAAACCTTCCAGCAATAAGTCGAACGGGAAGTCGGTAGGCCTTGTGTGTTCTGGGTGGCATAACGTTGGCCGTAACAGGTTTGCATGCCGGGCCCAGAGCTGTGCGCCCACGATCACGTCATACAGGACATTTCCGCGCATTTTTGACCGTCCCTGGCGTTCACTTCGCGTGGCCTTCCCAATTGTCGTGTACTAGCACTTTCTGTTCAAGTGCAAACGATCGCTTCTTTGCTTCATGGTGCCGGTTAAACTTTTGTTTCATTCTGCAGTTTCTTTCAACAACAACAACAACAACAACAACAACAACAACAACAACAACAACAACAACAACAACAACAACAGAGGATTCCGAGTGCGGTCGGATGGCGTCGAAAACCATGCGGAGCTTCCGGTTCATCATAACCTGTGCTGGAGAAACTCCGTCCGGCGCTTGTAAGTTCGGTGTTGATCGGTAAAGGAACCGGTCAAGCACCTCCTCTATAAGTCCCTCCCCTTTGGATTTATGGAGAGCTCGCTTGAACGTATTGACAAACGTTTCTGCCTGACCATTCGACTGTGGGTGAAACGGCGGCGAGCGAACGTGCTGGACGATACGTTGCTTGCAGAACTCTGTAAAAGTTGCCGAAGTGAATTGTGTGCTATTGTCAGTTACAATTGTCTCTGGACAGCTGAATCTGCTGGTTTGATGCAGTTTTGATAAAGTGGCATTGGTGGTTGTGCTATCCATGAGAAATACTTCAGGCCACTTGCTGTATGAGTCGATTATAATGAGAAAACTTCTGCCGTTGCTCGGTCCTGAAAGTCGACATGGATGCGGCACCATGGATTAGTAACTTTTGGCCATGAATATAGTTCTGAATTTTGTGGCGCTTTCAAGACATTGGTTCACCTTTGGCAGCGTTTAGCTATTTCTTCTAGCTGTTTGTCCATGAAGGGCCAGTATACATAACTGAGGGCAAGCGCCTTCATTCGGTTGATTTCAGGATGCCCGGCGTGGAACTGCCGAATAAGGCGCTCCTGAAGTGCCTTGACGATGACGACTCCTTCCGAAAACAGTATGCAGTCATTTACAATAGAGAGTGAGTGTCTCCTCTGAAAGTATTGTTGCAACTCGGCAGATGGATATGAACGTGGCCAACTTGTTTTGTGGGACTGTGTAACTTTCTTGAGTACCGTGTCCCAAAGCGTTTCGGTTTATACAGCTTCTGCGGTAACTGGTAGACCGTGCAATGCATCAGTTACCAGAAAGTGGACGTCAGGTTCGATCTCGAACGAGACAATGATTGTGTCCTCATGTTCTTGCTGATTGGCATCAATTAGACATGACAGTGTATCCGCTTGGCCAATGGAAATTGTCGATTGGTAGTGGATCTCGAAAGCATACCCCATTAAGGTAAGAGCCCAACGTTGTAGCAGGTTGGCTGTGTAGGCCGGGATGCCCTTTATCGAACTAAAGATAGCCAGCAAGGGCTTGTGATCTGTCAGAAGCTTGAAGCGGCAGTCGTATAGCCTTTTGTGGAATTTCTTGACTGCATACACTATGGCCAATGCTTCTTTCTCAATCTGGTTGTAATTCTTCTCGGCCTTCCTAAGTGTTCTGGTGGCATGGACGATTGCTTTCTGAGATCCATCGGTGTACGTGTGTGATATTACTGCACTAATCCCATGGCTTTATGCATCTGTGGCTAAGACAATCTCTTTGGAGAGATCAAAATGAGTCAAAAGCAAGTTTGAGGACAGTAGTAACTTGATCCGTTCGAAAGCATTCTGGCATTCTGACGTCCAGTTCCATGTTTGGCTCAAAGCTAGTAGCTTGTTTAACGGGGCACGCAGGCGGTGCATCTCAGGCAAGAATGCGCTGTGGTCGTTGAGGACCCCACAAAAGGAACGCAAGGACTGGAAATCTGTTTGTGGAAGCATTTTCTAATGGCTTCTATATTTTCCGGATCTGCTCGACGTCCATCCTTTTCGAGGATAAAACCGAGGTATTTGATGATCGGCGTGTAAAATGTGCATTTATCTTCATGGATTCGGAAACCGTACGACTGTGTACAACCAAGCACTTCATCCAGGCGGTTAAATGTGCAGCGGTTCCAGAAACGCCCGCTAGCATGGTATCCATCAACGGTTGGAAAATGGCTGGCGCCGTTTTTACACGAAATGGCAAGCGGTTGTAATGAAATAGCCCACGATGAGTGTTGATCGTCAACAACTCCCTCGAGACTTCGTCAACATCCACTTGAAGGTAGGCATCGGATAGATCAAGCTTAGCAAAGTACTTACCACCATTCAACTTTGCAAATATATCTTCCGGTACAGGTAATGGGTACTGGTGATCGTCGAACGCGGCGTTGAGGCCAGTTGAGAAGTCAGCGCAGACGCGTACCTTGCTATTTGCCGCCTTCACTGCGACAACAGGTGCGGCCCATGATGAATAGTTGACGGCTGTGATGACTCCGGCACGTTCCAGTGGATCGAGTTCTTGATCAATGGTTTACATGGCTGCATATGGTACCGGTCTTTTAGCCTTGAACACTGGTTGAGCACCTGGTCGTAAGCTCAGCGTTGCTTTGAATTTCGTACAATGGCCCAAGACATCCTGAAAGACAGAGGCAAATTTTCGCTTTAGCGTACGTATCATGTCTTCGACGGACTTTGATGATGAGTCTGGACTGGCTCAAAGTTAGTTGCAGATCTGATTCAAGGGAACATCGGGGAGTAGCAACTTTTCAATCCAGTCGAGACAAAGAAGATGCAAATCTGGCCGGTCTGAAATGTAGCACATTCCCGACTTAGCCATAAGTTTGAAAGCAATGTTGCAAGTAAGTTCGCCCACTAAGTTTAACACACCGACGGATGCATTATGTGCAACTTTCTGAAACTCGAACATCTTCGACCTCTTTATGTGATTCCATGTGTTCCTGGAAATAATCGTGATGTCCAAGGCCATGTCAAATTGCAGTTGCGTTGGGAATCCCATTAATCAACACCCTGATAAACCGTCGTCTCGGTTTACACTCACTTTGGAATGCAGCAAATATGGGCGGAGACTCTGCGCCATCCTTCCTAGAATTCCGCTTTCGATAAGAGTTCTTCACGTTTTTCGGCCGGACCTGATCTCAGAATTCCTCCTTATACCCACGCTTATGGCACGTTTGACAAATATGATGTTTGAACGGACAAAATCGCGCGAAATGCCATTCGCCGCATGACCAGCATGTTGTGGGCGGTTTGTTCGTAGACCTCTTGAAGGGTTTGCTTGGGTTGACAGTTCTGGCCTTTTTCACGAAATACACGGTATCTGGTGGTGCGATACCATTCCGTTCGACCAGGACAGTGTCGTGTTTTAGAGTGAGCAGCCGTTTGCATCCGCTTACGAGGACCTTCAGTGTCAGATCAGGATCCTGATCCAGCTCAGCCAAAAACCGCGTGCGGATCTCAGCATCAATGGGGGATTGTAGAGCGCTGACGAAAATGTGACTCTTAAACTGATAACCCGTTAAAGCGAGTAGTTTGAAACGCTCTCGCTCACGGTTAACCATGTGTGATAGAGGCTCAAAGTCGTCCGATTCCTGTTTGACAATTTTCAGACATTGATGGTGAATACTAAACAAGGCTACTGGCTCACTAAATATTTCTTTCAGCTGCGACAGTACTTCGTCAAACGCCAGATCCTTCGGCTGTTTGGGCAGAATGTGGTCTATGATCCTTGAATGTTCATTTGTTCCGAGTTGGTGGAGTAGCAATCGCACTTTCTAGAAGTCATCCTAACGGGCGAAGTCTGTCAGGAACATGTCTTCCCAGCGCTTGAACCACGCTTCGGATGTGCATCCAGATTCCGCGTCATAATTGAATTCAGTGCTTGCATTCGTGAGAAGATCAACAGAACTCGTCTGCATGTCCCGCGTCGCTGCTCCTGTTGTCTGCAAACTCAAGCATTATGTCAGATTCCGATCATTTTCATTTGTGCCTCCGTTTGAGAAGGTTGTTGGAAAAGCAGCTTTTGAAAGTGTGTAGAAGAAAAGTTCATCACATTACTAATTTTCGCTGCCGTCATTTGTTATAATCTTCTTACTAGACGCGATTCTGATATTAGCACTTTACTGCTCCACAAAAGTTCTAGCCCAAGAGAAGGAAAAATCAGAACGCCAATGATTTTGACAAAACAACGTACCAACAGCCGTCAGCAAACACTGTATAAGTACCGCGGACCATGGGGGCATTTATAGATCTCTTACTGACTTCTGGAATTGGAAGGTCCACTACCAAGGTTAGCGGTTCCACATAGCTTTGGCCGAGGTGTCAGGTGGTTTGTAGTCACGTGCAGAACGTAAAACATTTCAGAATGTTCGAAATCGAGGCGACAAGCGTTAATAATCGATTAATCGCTAAAACAGTGGATTTCCCAGGCAATTCTTACTTTCTGCCGAACAAGAAGGAAAAAGATCATCTTCATCAATCGGTACCATATTCAACGGCAATAAAAAGGTACAATGACGTCCTGGTTTATCGCCTCGGAATATGACATCAAGCAAGAGAAAATGTTGTACGTACTCAGTTGCTCATTTGTTCGCCGAGCTGCGAAATTTGTTTGCAAACGTTTCACCGCCATGCGAGGCGGCATCATCAGTGTGTCGAGATGTGGAGTGTAATCTTGCTGATTGAATTATCGACCCGTGATCGGCGTGCAGGTGACTTTTCGAAAGTGACGGCTTCGATCTGTGCCCCCTGAGAGCGTGGTTCTCAACAAAAGACTAGATCAACATGCATATCGAGATTGACCCAGTTTACCAACCCCTCGGACAGAGAGAACTTAGAGAAATTATGAGACGCCGCTTGTATAGGAACAACCCAAGCGACGACCACCGCCACGGGGAGATGGGTAGAGATCACTGGACACATATCGAAGCGGTCTCTTTCGAAAAGTCACCTGCACGCCGATCACAGGTCGATAATTCAATCAGCAAGATTACATTCCACATCCCGACACACTGATGATGCCGCCTCGCATGGCGGTGAAACGTTTGCAAACAAATTTCGCAGCTCGGCGAACAAATGAGCAACTGAATTATCAACCCGAACTACCAGTTTTCCAAAACATTTTGTACGTACTCGCTCGATCGCGCTCAGAGAAGCGCGATTCAATCCGGTAGAGAAGAAAGTCGCTCGAGCAATCGCCCAAGAGTCTCGAGGGCCAGCGGTAAGAGCCGCAAGCATCTCCTCACCTCCCGCGGGCGAAGACTGGTCCGAAGAGAGAAGATGATTGAACATACTACGGGAAGGTGTAACATAAATAAGAATGGACGTAACGGTTAGGTGGTGCAGAGGCATGTGTGCGTGCAAGCAGTCTTAGATAATGGAATCTAATGTGTAACTAAGCACCATCTGTGAAACATACTAGAGCAGTGGCATCACGATGGGAACAAATCATGAGCAAAAACACATCAAAGATTTTCATGTAACAAGTCCAATAATGAGCTGCGGAGTGTTAAGGATTCCTGGCGTACGATATTCGCTGACACTGCTATAGGTTTGAGTTGCAGCAGTTGTCCTGGAAATTTCATAAGCTGGAACTCCAAAACATAGGGTGCCCCGCTAGATGATAGCTTGACAAAGGCCACATGGAGTAGGAGAGTCTAGAAAGTAGAAAAATGAGAATGGCTGCTAAGCGGCAAGGGAGCACAGATCCTTGCGTAACGAACAATGCGAATCAAAAGTCGATAAATGCATTTCAAGGTTGCGTGAACTGGGCACAGTCAGTAGTGCAGCCTATGCGCCAGCACTGTTGGTCCGAAGCGAACAAGTGAGCTGCGAAGCGGGTACCGAACAAAGCTAATACCAATACGAATGAATCAAAGGATGGTAGGAATCTCGCCAACGGGGTGAGAAACTTACTATTCCAGCTCAGCTGGTGATAGACGGCGACCATCGACGACGAAGGGGCATCGGTAGTACCGGCCTCGATAGTATGCAACGATGTGACTAGAGTCAGGTAAATGGACGAGTTTGTCTTTCTTGAGGTACGGGACGCGCGTCGTATTAAACGGCCTTTCGTACTGCCACGAACACAACGGCACCAGTTGATTAATGAGCAAGGGAGCCATCTGAGAAATGGAGATGGTAAATTGAACTAGCGAAGAGGTTGATAGAATATTGGAGGCAACGCAGGAACAAAGGATGCAATAATTATGGCACATAAGTTTAAGCTGGTGAAGGCTGATTGCCACTGGAAAAAATTACTTTAATTTGTAAACACGAAACGTTACTTGTACTCATTTGATTTATAAAAGATCAAAGTCCCTGAGTAGGGACAGTATCTGTGTATCCGTAGACTCCACATAACAAGTAAAAAGATGTTGTAGACGTGTCGAAGACTCGTTTATCACACTGTAGCCCAGTTGCCCAGTTTATGGAACCAGTATGCTCACCTGCGAATACTTAGAGATTGCAAAGCGAACTTCCCATGAAGGTACAATTGACGCGACCGCACAAAGACAGCGTATTTTGAGGGAATACCCCAATTTCAGCTGAGTGTGACGCGTGCATTTCGGCACGGCAGTAGTGACGTGCGATCGGAGAACGATCAGCAATGCACAGCAAGCGTTGTGCTGCAACGGCTAACTGCCCATAGTTGTAGGCAGGTGGCACAATTTATCGATCGGAAAATAGAGGTTAAACAAACGAAAGTTAAACATAAGTGAACGGTGAAAATGACGTCTGTTGGCAGAAAAGCATATCATCCAGCTGCTAACGGTTTAGTCGAGCATTTTCACCGCCAACTCAAAGCCACACTCACTGCGACGCAATCGAATACCCGGTGGTCGGAGCGTTTAGCGATCATTATCCTCTGTATCCGCAACACAGTGGAGGAATATGTCGTTTGTTTCCCACAGACGTAGTCTGTGGAGAATTAATACTAGATTCCAGGATCACCGACGTAGGCGATCCTACGTCATGTGTTGCACAACTGGAACAATACTTCAGCGCCATCCGTCCAACGCCACCGCGATTCACTTCTCGAAACCACCACATCCACCACGGCTTGCACACGTGTTCCTTCGTTTTCCTACGCATCGATTCAATTCGCAAACATTTGACACGGCCTTACCAAGGCCCTTACAAAGTCATCGGTTGCATATATGTATTTCGCATTGGACGGAAATGGTTCCGAAAACTGCCAGTATGGATCGCCTGAAAGCAGCCTAGGTCTAATTCCAGTCACCACAACAGACTCCCGACACTGACGCTGAAAAGCCTCCACCACAGAGCACTCTATCCACCCGAACGATGTGCGGCTCCAGTGCTCCCTCCTCCCCAACCAGCACTTGTCACAAACTCAGACACACAAAAGCCTACACGTTTTAGTGGTGCAGTTATTCTTCCTTCTAAACTAGCTACTCACGTCAGATGGTACATATCTAGCGTTCATTTATTTGACATAAACTCTAGGGGGCGAGGGTTCTGTAGCTGCAACGAGTTTCCTCGGCATCACATGAAAACGGATATCTAGAGAAGTTCCCAGCACGGCACTCAAAGCCGAACGCGAATACTAGGAACGAACGGGTGCCTGACGTCCCTAAAAAAAGTGTTCACAACGCTACCTTTCAAATGCGATCAAAATGACCGGAGATTCCGATACTGTCAAAGTAAATCTATCAAAAAGTGTTATTACACCGCTGAGATTGTGTTTGTGCCCCAAGGCAACAAGTTGCTGTTCAAATCCAACATAGACAAGCCAGACTATTGAGTTACCGCCTCAATCATTTACCTGTTTCACTGTACTTGCGGTAGCGAGTACGTCGGCCGAACTGAGCGAACACTGTCCACAAGGATTTCAGAGCATATTCCTCAAAACCTGGTCGCGAATGGTCAAACGCTGCCTGCCAGTTCGATCTCCCGACACATACTTGACTGCTCCATGTGTGAAAACCCTCGTGAATCATTTAGCATAATCAACCAACAGAGCGTCGCCCGCCTGCTTCAGTTCACTGAGGCTTCGGCAATTAGGCGGCTGAAACCCAGTTTGTGTACACAGACCGAGTTTGTCGCCAGTCTCGCCCTGCGTTGGTGAGGCTGGTGGCCACATTCCTCTAGGCGGAGTGCCGGCCAGCATCAGATGAACTTTGACCGTAGCCCACTTTTGTGGAGGGACTCTCGGCCGGGTCGTATGCATTGATCATACAGCAAATCACCGACGCCTATGGTAACCAGTATCTATGATATACGCCCAGGAACGTGTACAATTTTGCCTAAGTTAATTGGAACGGCGTGTGACATGTCTTCGCAATATCAGTAGCTCTCAATGTACTACATAACGACCGGTTAACAACACGTGATCTATCACTGCAGCGAGAACCCAATGTAATCGTAGTTTACAGTAACTATTGCTATCCTCGAGTGAACCTTCGCATAGCCAGAGGCAATTTAAACTGAAAGCCACGGCTTACCCCATTCGGGGTGGCCCCACATTGCTTTTAAAGGAAAAGATCAGTGAACGTTAACAAGAAATATATCAGTGGTGTTGAATGGGTTACAGACCGAGTAGATGCAAATCACATCTATAGTTATTTCGTACATGCTGCACCATTTGTTGACAGTGGTGCAGCGTCATGCAGGCACGTGCTTTCGCAACAACCTGCTGTAAGAACTGCATCCTTCATTCAGTCTTGCTCAGTACACCATCCGGATCCTCTCGGAGCATTTCGGAATATCGCTGCCTCATGGTTTGTTTAACGTAGGCCTTAACGGTACTCCAAATGTCTTCAAGTGGGTTCAGTTGCAGGCAGACGGTGCCAGTCGTAGAAGTCCTCCTGAGCTGCAAGGCTCCTCTTGGAAGATACGATCCCGATCGGTGTTACAGGGTGCGTTATCACAAATAAGGAGTCAGTTTTCAGCGAAATGGATGCCATTGGTATCAAGCAGCATGCGTAACCACCGCGCACATATTTCTTTATAACAACTGCTTCTTAGGACAGAATATCCGAGTAATCCATCTTCATTCATCGCGCTGATCAGGTGCAGATTTTGTCCCTGAGTGTTCGGCACCCTACAGTGTGCATAGGTGCCACGTGCTGAACGTCCTCCTGTGCGAGCACAGAACAGATTAAAGTTCGTCTCATCTATCCATACCGTTTGCCGTCCTTCTGCCTCCAAGTTCAGCAATTTCAACACGTACGCTTACCTTAACCTTTTGCTATCCATCACATTCCTGGATTCCGGTATTGCATGTGATATTTTCATTGTCATGAGGCGACCGTCTAGGTAGCGGACGATTGTGCTGACGGTCACGTTCATCTCGAACTCCAACTGCAGTCGTAACGGAAAGGTTTCCAAGGTAACTGTAGAGTCCGATTTCACCCATTCCATCAAACAATCCACGTGACTGTCTGACGGACATTTTCAACTCGACACACTACGATCTCTTGTCGGTCCATTCAATTCAAATATTCTAATCCAGCCTCTACATGTCTTCACATTTACCAGTAACAGAGATGGAATTCCCTTCCAGTCGCTGCCCTCTTCATGTCTTCAGGTTAAGAGCCTTTACGTTGGACGGCTGACGGGCGTACGTTCCTCTTCTTCACATTGCGCACAATGTAATCTAAAGATTAAAAAGCCATAAAAATCGAATTAGAGACAAACTTGGTAGGTGAACTATGAGGAAGCTTTTCTGTTCGCCTTACCCGCTGAGTGCGGTTCCCGTGCAATCAAACTGGGGAAAGCAGAAGTGACAATTCTGCTGACCAGAGACGGACTATCGGAACCGTATGGACGTTTCCACTTACAAGTAAGACGCGAGAAATCATGACGGTTCGGAACTAAACTTAGGCCCCCGTATGCCAAGCACGTGTGATGTCCGCCGTTTGGCTAACACCTTGTCCCGCTCAGGCCATTGGGCGTAGTGACCCCGAAGTTTTTGAGCAGCTCACACACTCCACGGCTGACCACTCAGTGCGAGCTGCATTAAGTTTAGATGGGTATTTGATAAATTTTCTGCCTTAAGGAAGAAAACTGATGAGTAAAATATTACACAAATTGCGTTAAGGTTGAAAGCAATCGAGAAATGGTACAGTCAATGATAGAAGAATATCGGGTCGTGTGCAAGTAGTTACGAACGCATGGCGATCGGCCACCCAAACATGGCCACCATCCTACTAAACAATGTTATCGACCAACCCGTTGAGGATGCAAGAAGTATGCATTCGGTTGTAGGCACAAAAATATCAAACTCTATTCAATGCAATCGGCGCAAGTCCAGCAGAGGAGAACGCCTGAGGACCTACTGGTATAGAAAAACTGGAAAATTTCAGTAATTCGCGCTCTGTGTTCTATCGGATTTAATCGACACTTTGTACACGCCCACGGAAACGATTGTAGATAACGCTACCCGGGACAAAATTTGCGCGCTTCGTCTTTAGGCCAGTTTGCCTCGTTCTTTGCACTGTTAAATCCATTCCTTTTTATTTGTGATTCTGAATTGCTTTATCATACATACGTGTTGGCTGAGTCCCATTCTTGTGGTCTTATATTGCTCCGATTCGGTTGTATTGAATATTTTTTTTAGAATGACGAGGCAAACCGCCTGCGGTAGTTGTTCCAGACTCGTTGGTCATCGCGTAAACGCTAGTACGTGCATTCTGTGTAACATAAGGTTTCATATTTCGTGTACTGGTCAATTCGGGGATCAATTTCGCAGTATTCAGTACGATTTTTTAAAGTCTTGTGTAAGGACTGCTAGTCTAAAATTGATCCTAAGAAAACCGAAAAAACCTAGTAAGCGGGTCAATGGAATCAGACACTCTGAAACACACGGCTTCCTCTGTTCTGTACGACACAGAGGAACAGCCCCTCGTACACCAGCTACTCTATCCTCTAAGTAAAGTCCCAACACCCCGGGAATCTCGGCTTCGCCACCGGCGTTTTCTACGGCAGACGGTAAAGCCACCGGTGTGTGATAGGTCATGTGCTGACGACCAATGGAAAACACAAATAGCAAAGAAGCCGAGAACAATGCACAGCGATCTGATTTTTCACGCACTTAAATGCTCCGATTCCACTCTTCAGGTGCGCTACAAACAAGACGTCGAGGTTTTGCAACACCTGA